GTTTCCTATTTGGTGCTAGAGATATGTGCACAGTGGTATGTTTTTTTTTTTTTTTTTTTGATGGCAAGGTTTCTTCTGTTTGGTTCTATGATTTGAACATGGATTTGTTGTTTACAGTGTAAAGCTAGCATAATCAGGAAAAAATAAACGTGCACTCCTTTTGTGGCATTGCGCTGAAAGTAGCAACCTGTCAGACCTCAAAATAAGCTAAAAACTCCACGTATGTTCACAGTTAGCTAACACTATTCAGCAGTATCCTGGTAAACTATAAAACATACGTGCATTAGTACTTAAACTATATCGCACAATATTTATTGTTGACTAGCCGGTAAGCTGTTAATTTATGCTGTTTAATTTGGAGTGGGAGAAATCGTGTGCTACTGTTTCCAGTGTGATTATGGAGACACTGGGATTATTTGTTGCGTCATTTTAAATGAGGAAATCCACAAATTTCGTTTTTAGGCTAGTTTAAAACAGGGCATGCCAAAATGGCAGAGTAGTTAATTTTAGAAGGGGCATTACTGGCACACTCTGGGGCATCCACGACACTGGCCTTTGGTCGTGGTGTAATTCCTGCCTTGGTGTCAACGAGAAAAATCAACACCAGTGATTAACAGTGTTTGTCCCTGCCGATCGCTTTCTTTTTTTGTAAACAGTAATTCTTCCTCTGAATGCTGAGATTCTATTTTATACAAAGCATCAGAAACTTTTCTTGGACGCTTCTTAGATTTTTCCGACATTGGCCCGGCCATACTCCTAGTTGCTTTTTTACAGCAAAGGTGGATCAGCTCGCTGTAGGGCTCTGGGTTGCTCAACCCTTCAATTGTGGCAAACCAACAGATTAATCACCACAGATGGCACATTTAAATCTCTGGTATACTGTGAATTACAGAGAATTACATGGCAATGATTGGCTTAATCAGCATTGTGTGAACTTGTTTGGTCCCACACTCCAGCTTTAGATAAATTACTTTTTTTGCTTTAGTTTAACTGGCCAAGACATATTTTCTCTTGAGGGCTTTAGAAATCAATAACCAATACCTATTAACCTTTGTTTACCTTTTTTGCTCAGCAGAAACACTGCTTTGAAATCCGTTGCAGCCAATTTTCAGTAGTAAAATAGCATTGTGCTCAAGCGGGGTGACATCTCTTCTCTGTACTCTGCTCATTTGATGTAAACCACATGTGCCTGGAATTTCTGGCTCAGATTATTACCAACTGTAAAATAACCCATCACAGGTAGTAAATCATCTGTGCATAAATGCTGCTCATCAGTTCAAGTCCAGGGAATGGGCTGCCTTAACAGTTGGAGAGGAATAAAACAAAAGGGGGAAAGAAAGAAGAAAAGTAACTCAGGCGTTTACTCCAATTGAGACTCAGTAGGAATGTGTGGTTAGGTAAAGTTCTTCTGTGGTTACCCCCACTGTGACTTGGTCTGTCTGATCGTGTCTGTCCTTCTGGGTCTGCTTTGGCTATCACTGTGCTCTGTATGAGTTCTATGCTGTCCCATGATGATTTGAACAGCAGTGCCATAAGCTACAGTATAGTGATGAGATGATGATCTAAATAAATAGTAACTCCCTTACTCTATACCCCCATCCTCTTTTATTTTCTTCTAACCTTCATGCTGGGCTTCTTGACTCCTCTAGCATTCATTCATGCAGGAATAAAGGAAGTCAAGCATGCACGTGGACATACGATGTGTATGTAATATTAATGCCCCGTGGGCACAAAAGAAAATGTTCCATTTGTTGGCTTTTGTGTGCCATCACTATTTAAAGCACACATTGCACAGTGAAGTAAAAAAAAAAAAAGAGAAAAGAACAGAAAAGGCTGACTTTGCTTTGGTGTGCTAGAGTATGTTATGTCATGCCAAACCTGCCTCTTTTTAAATTCTGAATATAAAAAGACAGGATATCCGTGCAGAAAAGATAATGAAGTCAAAAGAACATAGTGTAACCAGACTGTTGGCTGCTTTCCCTCTCTCCCCTCTAGCTCCTCTTAGTTTGCTTTGTCTTTCTCTCTCTCTTTAGTTCTCTCCTCATCCTCAGCCTTTTAGCTAACACAGAAAGATTCGTCTAAATCTAGTCACTGGGTTTCTTTTATATGCGTGTTAAGTCAGTGCCTGAGCTTTGTTTAAGGAGGTGCCTGCTGCCAAGTTCTCTCACTGTGTAAGCCAGCTCAAGAACAATATGGCCCTTAAGCACTAAAGCAGACCAGTCTTATCAATTCTCCCTTTTTGTAAAGGCATTTGTATATCTCATTACAGATGAATGTGACGCTGGAATATGGGAGAATAGTAAGGGTGCGTCACGTAAAGTTGGATTCAGTCCCTAGGTGTTTTTGTAATGCATGATGTCATCAACATTTGTTTTGTCCTTGAAAACCTGAGCGGTTTTATCATTTACATTAATCTAGTAAGCCTGGAAAACCACAAATCAATTTGTAAGTCTTAGTCATTACTTTAAAAAAAGATTAATGTTTTCCAGGTCGCTTGTTTTTGTGTTCTGGATCACATCTCCGAGTGGTGGAGTTGAATTTCCCCACTGTGGGATTAGACAGAGTCTTTATGACATGATCTTTATAAACTGTATCCATAATCTATGGGGTTATTATAGGGGCCAGGCAAAGTGTGAGGGGTCACTCTCCCATCTGCTCACAGTTCCACATGCAGATGAAAGTCATCCAAGGCTTTCCTCTCCATTTTGATCCACAAAAAATCCCCTTAGAGAAAAATCTTTTATATCCTTGAATTGAAAATACTTGCAGTCAGCTGTCAAAGCGACTATGCAGAAACACATCAACACTACAGTTCAGCAAGCAGGAGTTTGTCAGATGTCATCAGTATGTGTTAAAGTAGGCTTTATGTTTCAGTCATATTAAGGAAGATTTTGTTTTTGCAACCTAGTTTTTAGATTTAACCATTTCCTGTCAGTTATGATAACATGTAGTAATAATAATAATAATAATAATCTTTATTTGTAGAGAATGTGATGACACTACTAGACTCAGGGTCCAATTTATTATCCATATGATCATTTATAAAACTACACTGCATTAAAGAGCTAATTCCTTAAAATTAGGCTAGATGTTAACATAAAGCAGTTTTCTTCAAATTTTCCAGACTAACAATTATAGTTAATGCTGAGGTAAGTAAGCAAGAGACAGCTAGATTTTGAAAGTATCCAACTTAAAAAAATCCGACCTATTTCATTTGGATCGAATGAAATGATTGGCTTTGCTTATTATAGTCCTGCGACAGCCACAGATACCAGATTTCTTTTTCATTTTTATCTCTGAGCATTTCATTTATTGATGTTGGTATATAAAGAGAATTTCAACAACTATATAAAAACACTTTGGAAATAAATTGCTTACCCCAGTTTTAATAACTTGTGTGATAGAAATGTAATGTAACATAACAAAAAATAGGCAATCATTTTTTCCTTTTCTCCCTTAACCTGACATGGATTGACTGACAGGCTAAATGTGAAAAAGGCAAGCGCAGGAACAGTGCTTCTGACAACTAATGTACTCTGCACACGTAAGAGTGCTCATAATGCATTCTTCCCCCCCTGTGTAAATTGCATTACATGCTCTAAGGGCTGACTATGTCAACACCATACTGAAGATTCAGTTGGAATGAACAAAACAATCATAAAAGCAGCTGCACTTTGGGTATTCATCAATTTCTTTTCATCAATGAGCTTTTATTAGCCAAGCAAAATATAAATGTGCAGGGAAATATGCCTAAGCTTTGTGACTTTAAACATTAGCTAAGTCCACATGCATTGGAAGACTTTGCAACATTTTATTTGGTGGACTTGCTTACAAATTTTGACGTTTGGGAATAAAATCTAAGCTATAATTCTATTCTATTCAAATTAGCTTTATTGGCATGAATGTGTAACAACAATTTATCATTAACAATCAAACCCATACATTTCATTAAATAAGTAATTAAAGCGTATGTGTGTTTGTGTTAGAAAAATTAAAATATTTTAAAAAGTGTGTGTGTGTGTGTGTGTGTTTAAAAAAATATATTAAAATTTAAAATAAATAAATAAAACTGTGTGTGTTAAAAGAAAATATATTAAACATTAAAATAAATAATAAACCGTAAGTGTGTGTGTGTGTGTGTATTAATATACAAAAATATTAATTGATTAAAAAAAAAAATCAGTATCAAATGTAAAAACAAAACAATTACTAAAATATCAAACAATCAAAATAGAAATAATGTGAAAATTTGTACAATTTCAGTCTGAGGTTGCACTGGTTGTCCTCACTTCATGGCATGAGGAGACATATTTTGCAGCAATTATTTGACATTGGGGCATTTCTCCCAGTATATAGGGGAATTTCTCTGTGATATAAATTTGAATTCGGGGTATATTTGGGAAATGGTTTTTGTCAGTGTTTTTATATTTGGGGCATGAGGTTAGAAAGACACACGCACACACACACACACACACACACACACACCCCATAAATCTCAGTAGCATTCAGTGGGATTAGGATTAGCGGTGAGAGGCTGGCTACTTTAACAAGCACTAATTGATCTGCAAATAAGGATGTGCTGGATACTGCAGCAGGCCAGCACCAGAGCAGGGATATGGATTATGCAAGTTTGACAAACGCAACATTGCAGCAACCTAAAGCAACAAGACCACTGACTTTCTTGGCTCCAAAACTTGGAAGTTTCATCCACACGGCGGTGGGTGGTTTCCCGTCTGCCATCCGCTGTGGGCTGCAGGCCTCGCTTTAGGCAAGGCTTCTGGAGCCCATGCTGGGCCTGATTAGTCAAGGCTATCCAACTGTGCTGTTGAGTCTCCATGTAAACAAACACAATCCATTTGTTGGGATTGCACTGCACACAATTAGTCATTGTTTGTATGGGAAAGTCATTCTGCTGTAAATGCAAAATCGCTGATGTCAACAGTTTGAACTAAAGGGTGTCTGTCAATGTAACTGTCCCTCCCCCCTCTTTTGTCTTTCAGAGCCGTGCTGGAGGGATTGGTCCAATTTCTGTCCATAAAGTCTAGTGGCTGTCAGTGCAGTAACCTGCTTGAGGTGTCTCATAGCTGTGAATTGTGTCACTGTGGGAAAATAGCAGTGGGAATCAAAACTCTCCCACCTCCTCCTCTTCCTCCGTCTCCTCCCCCATTTTTTTTCTCTCAGCCATTTAAACCCTCCCCCTAACAAATACACAGTAAGCCACATGCAACCCTCTGACCACTCCTCCCACACTGGTCATGGTCCACTCCCTCGGTCTCTTCAGCCAGTCGGGCAGTGAGTCGATGGAAGCTGTGTAATCCTCTGTAAAGTATAGGGCCTGTGCGCCTGCATATGGTCCCTTTTGTCATGGCGGCTGTTGTTGTTGAAGAGGCCTCCCTCAGGAGAGAACATGAGGGAGAACAGAAGGCAGCATAACGCTCACAAAGGGAGGAAGACAGAGTGAGTGAGAGACCCTGACATTGCCATTTATTTGACCAGAGGAGAATGAGCTTCACAGGGCAATGGATGGAATTCAATGGGGTTGAAACCCCATGATGTGGGACTGGCATTACTACCCCACACCAATCACAAATTGGACCCACAGTCTGCTTTGGAGATATTTGCCACACAGTGACCTGCCACAAGGAATGCAGTAAAATAGAGAAAAGTAGGCAAAACTTTTTTCTTGGTTTAGAATATTTTTCTATTTTCTCCTTTTTGTTTTGTTTTTTGTTTTTTTCAATTACTGCCTACCACAAGTGCCTTTTTTGTTACTTTTGTCTATTTTTTTCATTTATCTTGCTCTATTTTCACACCTCATTTTGCCCCAGATTACTGCATGAAACTTTATATACAGTAACTGTCACATTATATGAGTGTTGCCATATTTTAAAGAAGGTACATAGTATATTTGACAGCCACAACACCAGCCTTCATCAAATACACACTTGACAATCATCACCTTCCTGAATTTAGTTTGTATCACTGAGAGCGAGGTTGCTCCAGACCAGCGTAATTTCTGCACTGCCTACTCCCGATCTCTGTTGCTTTGACGACCCAGATCCGTCGCCATGTTCAGTTTCCAGTCCAAATGGCGCTACATTTTCATGTTCCTGGGCATCCAGCTCGTGGTCATGGCACTGTTGTCCCGAGAGGGATACCAGAAGAGGGTCTCATACTTCATCCGCATCTTCCGCAAGCCCGACCCCACTAGTTTGTCAGGCCGCAACCACACAGCAGCTGGCTTCCCTGGAGGGGATGTATATGCCAACCTCTCCCACCTATCCAAAGCTCACAGCCATGGAGATGAGATGCCCTACTGCTCTAAGACGTCCCCTCTTATAGGTGAGTGGTCTTGTCTGCTTCTGTTTTAATTCCACAGTACCTGATTAGACTGTGTTACTGAAGGTAGTTCACTCTGTCCTTCACACCTGTAAATCTCTAAGTTCAGGAATGGACAACAAAAATACAAGGGCTTGCCTGAAATGTCACTTTTTGAGCTTTGAAGCTTTGAAAGCGATACATGTAGGCTATATAATAACAGCATGTTATTATTACCAAAAAGCTGTGTTTAACTTTTCTCGCAGGTAGGTTAGTAGTCCCAGGACTAAGAGAGGGAGTAGACTAGAGTTAGATAAAAGAGGAATATTTATTGCAGGTATGAAGTGATGGGAAATTGAGCCGGGGAAGAGCGAGGCAGACTGGAAGACTAGATGCTGCAGAACCAGGTTGGTGGCTGCAGTGCAGAGCAGTAGGGAACCGTAGCTGGGAGTCCAGAGAGTGAGAGACTGATTTGAGCAGGTCCAGAACAGATCACAGTAATATATTAACCGGGTGGGGGTCCAGGGAGAGCAGATGGGGTGAGCACTGTTTCCGGTAGCAGAAAGTAACAACACGTTATTATGTAAAGTTTGCTTTTTAACTTTTTTTACAGCCTACTGTGTACTAATGTTCTTAAACCATTATAATTGAAAGCAAATTTCAATGGAGTATGAAGCTTATTTGAATGTTGGTGATTTTGATAACTTTCCAGTGCAACAGTTGTGTTCTGCACCGGCATTTGCATAGTCACCACTTGGTCGGGGATGTTTTATGAAATTGTCTGAAATCTATTAGAAGTTGAGAATTATATTTTCACACACTCGTAGTGGCCTTGATGTTAAGGTATATTGTTCAGCAGCAACAATGGCACCCAAATGCATCACAGTACCATAGCTGCCAGACAATGCCATTTGGCTCAATGAAGTTAAGCCATCATTTGTAATGATAGTCGGTGGGCCATCGCACTACTTGGAATAGAGTCGTACAGCTGCTGCTTGGTGGTAGTTTATTTTTGTTTTCATCAACTGCTCTCTGATTTACTGTATAAAGATTACAGCCTGCAAAATTGTTTTGTAGTGACGGGTGTATTAGGGGCAGGTTAAGTAGGTTAGACATCCTGAACAAACTAAAAGATCCGGGAAGAAAGTGGACAGAAACCTTCTGGAGTTTCACTGAAACTGGTTTAACGAGTGGATCATAACTGGATATTGTTACACTAATACCAAGCATCTGGTTGTGCTGAACAGGATTTGTGGGGGATGCACCTTGAAATGCTTGCATCAAAACACCACACATACAAAGGCATCAAATAGGGCTGGGCGATACGGCCAAAAATGTTATTACGATAAAAAAAAAATTCATATCATTCAATATTGATAATTATCACGATAAATGTCAAATCATTATTTCTTTCCTGAACAAAAATTGAAGGGCCAGGTGGTTAATTGTTTGGTACAACTATACTTTATGGTCAGAGCGTGACAAACACTTGATGCCAAACAGCGGGACGCTTCACAAATCTGAGGTAGAACATTCAAAACAATTGATTAAATCTTTTTTCAAAAAATATGATTAGTAACTGTTTTTTATGTCCCTTTTCCTCAACAAAAAAACATCATCATAGAATAATTAAGTGATTCTAATGAATTAGTTCTGTGTTTTGAATCATCCGTCCATTCTAGGGTACATTGTAAATCTGTCAGTCAAAACTCCAAATGGCTTGTTTGAAGAAATTTTTTCATTTTCCATATAACAATGCATAACCACTGTCAAATATGACAACACATAATCAGTGTTAGGGGTGCTCTTTACTAGGGGTCGGAATCTCTGGGCACCTCACGATTCGATTACGATTCAGAGGGCTGCGATTCGATTATAAAACGATTATTGATGCATCTTTTTTTTTTCACCGTCACTTCTGCCACTCGCTCTCTCACATTCGCCCGGCCTCACACACAGGACACGCAGAGAGCTGCCGAGCATGGAGTGTGCGAGTTAAATTCATCACTTGAGCACTGATATTTATGATTGTGTGACATTTTAGTTGGGTAGTTATTCATTCCGCAGTGGTGGTGTGCCGAATACAGCCTGTTGTGTGCGCTCCACAGACGGTCCGGGTGCTGCACGTCCGCGAGTTCCGCCTTTTGCGTTCCGTCAACATTACGTTATCAATTAGCTTTAAATAATAAACATTTGTTTCGATTCATAATCTTCCGCATCGATTATTTCTCACACCCTCTCTTCACTGCTTGTGTCATTGTTTGCATACTTTACTCACATGTTTTTTACATTGTTAACTCATTTTCCATCCATTTGTTTTTGTTAATTTTAACACGGAGTGAATGAAAACTTGTAGACAATGTAACTTTTAGGTAATCTACCACAGTGTGTTTACTGACCATGAAAGATCGATCTCGACCTCGGAAATACCAGTAAATACTGGGGCTGCTTGATAATGATCGAAAATCATTATCATGATTATTTTGGTAAACATTGAGATCATTATTTTTTTAAAGATGATTACTCAATGCATTAGGAAATATGCATTTGTATAACTTTGAAAAGTTGTTATGTATGTGTTGCCAAACAGTGTTCGCCTAGATTGCCTGCCTAGGTGCTCCATGTGTGGCTGACAGGTGAACTAGTCGAGTTGATGACAATGCAAACGTTGTGTTCAGTTGGGAGATACAGTAACATAAACCAACAATGGCAGGGTTTTTCCTGGCTCAGAATGGGCCTTTGGGGGTTGACTTTGCACGCATGGTCTGTACGCGTACAGTAAAAGCAAGGGGTCACCTTATGACTGAAATATATGTATTTTCTTGTAATTTCTGACCATTTGATAAACAAAATATATCCACAGCCTGGGGAGTAAAGGTATAAAAGTAAAGTACAATGTTAGTCTAATAATATATTTACAGGTTACACTTGATTTGGTTAATTTGCTTACAGATACTTTATTAGTTTAGATTCAGCTTTTCACAAATTAAACCTTTCTCTGATATTGGCCTACACCTTTGTGGTTAAGGTTTGATTAGTGCTAATGTTATGTGTATTCACTAATATTAATTCCAGTTGGACAAAACAGTAATTTAATTTTTGTGGGTTGTTATCAGTCATTCAATTATTATTCAATTATTGGTGGTCAGTCTCATTTTTTTTATGCAAAGTAGCCTACTAACTCGTCAATAATATAAACCGTGCATACAGAACGAAAAGTTTGCTGTAGTGCCTCAACCTCTTTTTAATGTCCCGCCTACTCCAGGCTGTGATAGGTTGGTTTGCGAAAAGTGACTTTGACGAGCCACTATACACGCGGCTGCACGGAAGTCTCCCGATCTCCCTGCGGAGATTAGCAGGCAGGAGAGAACGGGAACAGGTGAGCGTCACGTAGAGCACAGAAAACCTGTTCTGGAGAGGGCAGAGAGGGGAGCCGGTACGCCAAAGAGTAAAATGTAACAGTACCTGTGAATACCGGCACACTTACCGGCACACACCAGCACAAACAGCTTTGATATTGTGAGAAATAACGGAAGTCATCTGTTCCAGTAGCGCGAGCTCAGATTTGTTGCGGAGCGTTCATGCGCAGTCAAACCAATTAATTTATTAATCCAGTGCCAGCTGCAGGTGTGAAAAAAAAACAAAACGCTGTGGATGAGAGGAGAGGTGACTGCTGGAAGACAAGACATTAAAACACATTCAGGGAATATTTGAAAAGCCTTTTCAATTCTTTTTTTCAATTCTGATGATTTTGCTGCTGGTGATTTTCCTTTGGCGCTCGCTAAAACCTCTTAGGGGGAGGCCAAAAATTTCTCTATGCAGGAAAAACCCTGAATGGGTAAGAAAAGTATAAATAACATGTCATCTGTTCAACTATAAGCAGAGAAAAAGTCCACTAGTTGCTAGGCCAATTTGTGCAGTGTAAAATGCTGTAGGCTTAAGCTAATAATGTTGACTAACAAGTTGTAGCAGTTTTAACTATATTTAACTAAACATGCCACAGAGCCTGGGAGTTTATGGAGGGGCAGGAGCCTCCACTGTAAAAGAAAGGCCCTTGTTCATACCACAAAAATCTTAACTCAAATCCTCCTTACTAGCTGTATTCCTCCAGCGCTTTCAACTTCACCTTTATTAACCCCATCTCATATCAGTTTGATTATAACTGAGCAAACTCCATCCACTGATGATGACGGTGAGATACAGTTGAACGCTTGGGGGGGAAATAAAGGTAGTAAGCGGACCTTGTTACGTGTTTTCTTTGTCTTTGTCCCTGCCGCGCCCTTTTAATACATTACCTAAAAAATTTGATCCTGCTCAATGTTTGTTCATTATACATAGGGTGCACTGTCAAAGCAGGCTCAGCTTTCTGCTCTCTAAGCTCTGCCCTCTGCCCCTTTGTTCCTACAGTATTGCCAGAGATTTTGAACTACATGCTGATAACTGATCCACAAGGCATTGACTTCTTTCCTAGAAAAAAATAATGCTTAAAGGTCATTGGGTATTACTGAATAGTCTGTCAGGCAAGTGAACAGAAGCCATCAGGAGGTTCACTTAAATTGGTTTGATGGGGGTCGAATGATTTTCTTGTACTGCAACAGTCCACACAGGTAATCTTGATAATTACAGCTTACAGCTCATACAAATCAAAACTCCAGTGTCTCAAAATGTAGATTTTGAATTGGAACTAAGAATTTACAATACAAAAATATAGACCTGAGAAAAGCTCCAATCAGCAAATTAACTCAAAACACCTGCAAACGTTTTCTGAGCCTCTGTGTGGTTCTGGTGCTCACAATGGAATTTTCCAAAATATTTACATTTTTGTAGATGCACTTGTATATTCCTAGTTGTTCTATCAGCCCAAGGTGACATCTTCAGATTGCTTGTTTGTCCAACCAGCAGTCCAAACCCCTGATATTCATCTTTGAATTACGGCTGAGCTATATGGCCAAAAATGTTATCACAAAAACATTTCATTCGATATTGATAATTATCACAATATATGCCAAATTAAGTTTAAAGGCTGATTTTTGCACCTTAGTGAAAATTGAAGACACCGAAGGGTTAATTATGTGGTTAAACTTTTCTTTACGGTCAGAAACACTTGATGCCAAACAGTGAATCACAAATCTGAGGTTGGACATTCAAAACTATTATGATAAAATCTTTTTCAACAAACATGATTAATAAATCTTTTCTTGTCCGCAACAAAATAAAGATTTTAATATAAAAATTTAAGTTCTAATTTGTTTGTGATTCAAATGAATTAAACCAAATATTTATTGATATATTGAACATTTATTATATTGTTAATGAGGAAAATTATATTGCGATAATTATCATTATTGTTTTATTGCCCAGCCCTACTTTGAATGAAAATAAAATGTTATGCCAGTTATATTAATTAAAAATGGTTTTGTATCCGATTGTGGGCTTTTGGGATACACCTATAAACACTGTTTAATCCTTTTTAGTGGAGTGGCTGTCAGCACCATCAGACCTGTAGCAAACACGGTTGCTACTAGGAAGCTCGTATACTATTAATGAGCGAATGTCAATTTTAGTAAAGGACACAAAACAACAATAAAGGTTCATGAGCTAAAGCACATCAGACCAAACAGGTTCAGATGATGTCGAGTAAGAACAAAGTGAGCATTAGTAAAGCTGGAGAAACACAGAGACCCACATAATATACAACCCAGAGGAAGAGCCATCAACTGACACTACAGTAAATTTATTTACTGCGGTCATATTATTATAAAGTGTGACATAGTCTCGTTATAATATTCAGCCCAGCTCACTGCCCGTTTCGTTATCATGCAATACATTTAGCTGTGCTGACATTGCTGAGCCTCCGGAGAAAGATACACAGATAATAAAGAGTTACTGAAAGCAGCAGGCGAGCTAACGATGTAGCACGTCGGCTAAATGCACTAAATGTACCGTGATCATGTAACGAGCGTGGATTAGTTCAACCTGCAGCTGATAAAACTGTTACTGTAACGTTGCAGTGGGGGTACCCTGAGTTTCCAGCTCTGTTTGTTCTCCTTACCTGTCTATAGCCGCTGTCTATTTTTTGCTGTTATCCGGGTCCAGGTAGCGTTCATTTAATAAATTATATTATATGGGAATTAGTGTTATATACTGCTGGGAATAAACAAATAATTCTACATTATATCGTCCGTACTGGTTTTCCATCATATTTTAGCTGGTTTGAAAATGAAATCTGAAATTTGAAAACAGGAAAAGGGTCTTAAAAACTGGACTCTTCTGAAGCCATGACCAAGAAAAAGGATGAAACCCTCACATTTCAGAAGCTGGAGCAGCGAATGTTAGGCCTTTTTGCCGAACAAAATGTAATTGAAAGGCATCAAAGATCTTCAAATGTTGTATTGAAGGAGAACTTTTGATAATTTTTGGGGGCATTTCCAGTGAGACATGCAGTGTGTTTTGCGTTCAAATGTACTGTGCTACTTAAATTTGAAACAGAGTACAAGTGTCAGAACTGGTATGGGTAAATTTTTGAACAAATCAGTTCAGCATGTCACACTGAGAAAAGGTCATTTTAAACCATGATGTCACATTCAAATCAAGAGCATTAATACTATAACCAGGTTATTTGCCTTCACTCCATTAAACATATCTTGTTTCTGACTGGTAATGACAGCAGACTACTTTCTGCTCCCAGGTGGTCCGATCCACGTCAGCTTTCCATCAGGGCTCACTCTAGCAGAGGTTCAGAGGAAAAATCCACTGGTGGTGCGCGGAGGACGCTATAGGCCACCTGACTGTGAGGCGAGGCACCGAACAGCCATCATCATTCCCCACAGACACAGAGAACACCACCTTAAGTTCCTACTATACTACCTACATCCTTTTCTGCAGCGACAACAGCTCCAGTATGGAATTTACGTCATTCACCAGGTGACTGACTGACACACACACACACACACACACACAAGTCATATATTACACACCAAAGGAAGAGTCAAAGGGTGAATAAGTGATTTTAATAATATTTCCCTTGCCCTTCCCTTCCCTCTCCAGTGCTTTGATTAATCTAGATTTCACATTTGGTAGAACCATAAGGTAGTTCTTTATAGGCCATTTACAGTTATCAACTAGTGAGTTTGGTCTGTAAGGTGATGAAGAGTGTCCTCTGGTGTGCTGTCTCTGGATGTGCATGTTAGAGGATGAGAACGCTCAAGTGGCTTAGAGGATTTAATCTCTTTAGCTGCTTGTAACAATTCATTCATGTTTACTCCTCAGCACTTTATCTCTTTCACCTCTTGAGCTGGCAAGTTTATTTGTAGAGCACATTTCAACAAGGTAATTCAAAGTGTTATACATGGAAAATAAAAATAAGATTAAAGAGGAGACTAAATGTTGCAGTGTAAGATATTAATCAAAAGCCTCGAATTTGATTTAATTAAAGAAAAGAACAGAGTTTCAGCAGACCTGCACTTTTCTATGAGTTTATTCCAGATATATCATCTGAAAAGCTGCCTCTTCATGTTTAGTTTTGAATTTGTGGACAGAAAGCAGACCTGTCCCAGACAACCTGAGAGATCTGGATGGTCTATAACTAGGTGTTTGAGAGCTTGTGCCACGAAAGATTAACAATGACGAGATTTTGCATCAGGTTAAAATTGACATATTTCCATAGCATTCTTGACACGCTATCACGCCGCCTCACAATAATTTTCTCACGCAGTGAAAAACAAATGTATAACTGATAATGTTGAGCGAATCAACTCCGCCCAGCAGATGCGTACACTGTCATAGTAATGAAGTGTACACTAAATCATGCCTGCATGCGTGTTGACTCAGCAGGGATGATATTACATGAGAAAAGCTTGTTGCCTGAGGCCTTACTGCATTCTACTGTTAGATTTTTATATTTTGAATTGTCACATGCCTCCTGAATTTTGTTTTCCTTTACATAAATAAAAACATTACCATCATAACTTATAGAAGAAAATTTACCAGAATACAGGAAATTAACTGTTTATTGCTCAAATGTTTTATATAATTCAGAACTGAAGATATCTTAAAAATAGTGTTAAAATCTTGTCTCGATCTCGTGAACCCAATATCGTGTCTCGTCTCGTGAGCTAGGTGCCTGTTCATCACATGTCAGAAATATCTATTGGCGGTAAATCGTTTTATAAATCAACAGTGATTCTTCTTGTCCTTGGTAGAGGGATCATATGGGTGACGCAGGAATTAAAATAGGTTAAGGAAAAGTTCATCTGCCTTTAAAAAGATGTCTGTTGTCCCAGAAAAAGTGTAAATTGTCAAAGTGCACTGAATGGATGGTGCATGCAGTTGAGAGCCATGTGTTCAGTGCCAACAATCTGCTGAATCTCTCAGCTTCTCTTCTGACTGGTGGTACAGGGTCACTGATAAACCCCTCAGCATTCAAGGAGATGGGTGTGTTCAACAGATCAAAAATGTCCCGTCTGACTGTTGTTTCACAACGTCATTGGTCCCAATGTGCACTCTGATGTTTTTCACAGTTCGATGTGCAGCCATGATATGCAGGATTCTTTTTTGCAAAGTCAGAGGCCATATCCTTGGGAAAATAGAGTATTTTGGAGTTTTTACTGCACATGCTTCTTACATCTTTTACAGCAAAGTCACCCACAAACAGAGTTAGAGACCCAGTCGTTAGCTTAACTGTAGTCTAGTTTAGTCTGCTAGGTTTATAAATGATGCATCAGATCCTGCACTGTGTTTTTTTTCAGGATGATTCAGGGAAGTAACATTCGAGTAAGGCCTAGTAAATATGGTGTAACATTGTGGTAGAGGTGAGCAATATATCTATATTTACTGTTGATTGGTATATATCATATTTTTTTTAAAATGTGAATCATGACACTATTTTGTGTATTAAAACTATAAAGGAAGACTATTTTTTGTCAGTTAAAGATGAATGCGTTCCAGCTTAATTGTCCAGTTCATCCAGTATTGAAATACAGTAATGTTATAATTAATTCTTGTAACAGAGGAAGATCTGCTGGTTATTAGTCATTAGTGAATAATTCACTCACTCCCTCATACTAACATGTCAAAAGTTCTCACTTCATTCACTTCTGACCATTCTGATCATTGTAACACACAGCCTGTTTTGACATTAAGTGTTTGTGTTTACTCCGCAGTCTGGAAACTACACTTTTAACAGGGCCAAGCTGATGAATGTGGGTTTCCGGGAGGCCATGAAGGAGGAAGACTGGGACTGTCTCTTCTTTCATGATGTGGACCTCATTCCGGAGGACGATCGTAACACATACGTCTGCGACTCCAACCCCAAGCACGCAGCCATTGCCATGGACAAGTTTGGCTACAAGTATGTTCTTTCTTGTCTGCTAATGTCCTTGAAAGTGTTTGCTGTTCACAGATAGACCCACAGCACATTCTATGTTCCACATCTATTTGAAATACTTAACCGAGTTGTTGTAACCTTTAATCTTCTACAGGCTTCCGTACAAGATGTACTTTGGAGGAGTGTCAGCTCTGACACCACTGCACTACCTCAAAATGAACGGCTTTCCCAACAACTACTGGGGCTGGGGTGGAGAGGACGATGATATTGGAGTAAGGTGAGAATAGTTTAGACAAGGTCCTCTTTAGGATGAGAGGTTCTATTATGGAAGTAATACATCCTTAGTAGGGATGTGATGGTTCTGAAATTGTGACTGAATCCGTGATACAAATGTCCACGTCTCAAGTCGCGGTTCTGTCGTCTGATGATCGTGCCGGTTGATAAAAAAAAAACCTGCATTGTGCAGGTATTTACTCATACTAAACACTGTAGCAACACGTCCATAGACAGCAGCTGGTCAGCACTTTGTATACAAACATTACTATGAGTCACAAGTACACAGAAGAGCTAATAATCAGTATAAACTACAGCTTTCACTAACTGTCAATATCCCGACAGCCATCTTGGATCATGAAGTCGGGGCAGTGCGGTTCTCCCGGCTTCCCAAGTCGACTTAAGGGGGTGTTCCCTTTGAAATTTTTAACTTTAAACTCGGAAATTCCGACTTCCAATGTCAAATGGAACGCACTATTAGCAGAACGAGGCAAAGGAAGGTGAATGCTTCTCCTTCCTCAGGCATCCTCTCACTGCAGATTGGACCGTGCCAAAGCAATATCTAATCCTATTTATCACTGCTGATATGCGATGCGGTTGCTTGGCCATAAGAATACAGAATTTAAGCCTATGGTCAAAGTGCTTGAGTCTGGCTAAATGTGCCTTTTTGTGTGCATTTTAGTCAGTCTGTTGTGCCTGCCCTGGATAAATAGGCTCTGCATTTGTTCAGGAATCATCAACAGGTCCGAGTCTTGATGAAGCATTAATGACATTGTTTTTTGTATTAATGATATTCCAGCATTTCCTGTTACAGTAAGAATTATGGCCAATGTGTCTCTGTTGAATGTTACATAGATTAAATGTAAGTTTCTGATGGTTTTATTTAGTGTACCGTGCTGTTCTGAAAACATTGTGTGTCGTTTAATCCGTAGCCAATCAGGCAAATGTTTCCAGTGGCGGATTTCTTCTCAACACATCATCGCAGCATTATCGTTCGGACACCACACCAGTTTCCAAGCTCTACTTGAATGACTTCTAAACTCTAAATTCAGAGTAAACCTGTAATATGACATTGGTACTAAACACTAATAAAAACAGCCCTGACTTTACCACAAAGTAATGTAGGTTAGACTCAAAAAATAAATAAATTGAAAAATGAACACAACTGTTATGGATACAGAATCAATGTTTTGATTCATGTTTTCTTGAACCACATGAGATGTGTGAGTGACCCAGTTTTACTGAGTGATAGATGACATTCTTCTCTCCTCAGAGTGTCTCTTGCGGGGATGTATATCACTCGTCCATCACTGAAGGTTGGCCGTTACAAGATGATTAAACACAAGCTGGACAAAGGCAATGATGTAAACCCAAAGAGGTACAGTAAACGGACTCTGTTCAGCTTGATCATAAATAGAAATAGTATAAAACAATAGTCTTTGTTTTTAGTGTACAGGTAAAATGTAAAGGTATGCAGCCTTATTCCTTGCAATATTCACTGCTCTGTCTTTGCTCTCCATTTAAAGGTTCAACATGCTGGCCAAGACACGTCAGACCTGGAAGTCTGATGGAATGAACACAGTTGAATATGAGACAATCTCCCGGCAATACCTGCCCCTCTACACCAACATCACTGTCAACATTGGCACTGAGGCCGGCCTACATCCACCTCCTCTGAAACGACAACCTCCTGCCAAAATTGCAGACAAACCTGCAGTCAAAGCACCTGCCATAGTCCCAGCAGCTGCTGAAGTCCCAGCGAAAGGCCCTGCCAAACTCAAAGAGGGCCACTCAGAGTAATAGTCTACCCTAAGAAACCGCAAACATGTTTTCACTTTGCCATAACTTCGATGGATGGTTTCCCTCAGTGGCCTGGATTGTTATTGCTTATTTTAAGCTTTTTCTTTAAGCTTTTGCGGAGGAATCAGTTTGTGGAGAATCAACATCATATACTGCCTGCGGACAGTGGGGCACTGATTTGTGTGATTCAAAACTCCTGATTTATTAAAAATAAAAACAATAGACCTGAATTTCTCAACCCTGAGGTGACGGCTCTTCACCTTAGTTCTTCCTAGGGCGGCCACAGAGAAGAGTGAAGGGTAAAAGTTGGACTCTATGAGTTTGTATATCTACAGCACTGTGGTCGCTGCTTAAACCTTGTGATGCCTTAGAATCTTATTCTTTAGTCTTTTTAATTGTACTTTATATTATTTAGAATATTGGGTTTAATGGAGCGGTAGCTGCAATTTGCATCAGTCACACTGTGCCACAACAGAGTCTGACTCATTTTCTGTCTCAACGCCAATAAATATGTGAGTGAAGGAGACGTTTTTTGTTTCAAACGGAGTGTGTGAAGCTGCTACAGGGAGTGCTGAGTGGAGGAACATGACAGATTTGTGTTTCTCTTACTGCTATTACTGACAGTGCACATATCCATATCTGTCTGCAAATATCTGGGGTCTTGTTTAGAAACGCTTACTACACAGAGGTGGATGGATCACTTTTCAGAGTTATGGATGCTGTACACATAATTTTGCTTATTGTCATGTTCAGTCAGAATTACCAGTGTGAATGAGGAATGAAAACATTTTAGTTCTGTACACCAAGCTCTGGTACTCTGTGAAAATTTTGTTAGTAGTTGCATACATTTCAGCCTTTATAATTTCAGCATATCTGATATCTTCATCATATGATTGAATATTGTTTGGGGTTTTTTGTTGTTTTGTTTTTTGCTTTTATCAAATGGTGTCAGTTATCAGTCCTTTGCCTTCAGATGAGTTTGTGATTCACATCAAAATGGAGTCGGTCTTGCTTTATTCTTTTAAAAAATGTATGTTGATTATGTAGAGTGTACTGTATAACCCGTTATGTAAATGTGGCCCTGAAGAGTGCTGGCTTGCTCCCTCAACACATTATATACAGTCAATCTTTATAATGTGCTCTTTTTTCCCTATACTTCGCCTATCTTATGTCCTTAATTTATATAAAGCATTGAGAAATTTACTAGAAAAGGACATTTGCTCTTCACAAATAAGAATCACTTCTGCAGCATCATCTGACCATTGTCGGACGTAAAGTAGAGATGAGTAAATGTTGATGCTGTCAAGCAGAAGTTACAGCAGCCACAATGACGTAGGCAAACAAGTTATTTCAGTAGCATGAGCCAATGTGTTGATGGGTAATGGAAGTTGTTTTGCTGTTGTAACTAAAGAACATGTTTTTTCTTCAGTTAGGATTATATTTTATATTTTGAGACAATTCTCAGACATCTTGGACTGATTTAATTTGAAAACCCACAAAATAATGTCTAAAATCATTGTCGTCAAGTTGACACAGGTGTGAGGTTTTTACTCAACACAGCATAATTTTGTGAAAATATACTGAGTATCGGAGATATGTCACAGATACAGCAATATTTAAGTTATATCTTGGCTCACCAATAAGGTAAAAGGCTGTTTCTTTCTTTCTTATCAATATTGACCTTGTTGCCCTGCGATGTAACTCTGAAAAGCCAGTTCTTTAACACATCTACCATGTCCTTCCCACTAGTGCCCGTATGCTGCATGCCGACCCTCCACCCTCCCCTTCACCTATATCCGTACTGACAGATTTGATTGTTTACACTAGAAAAAAAATACGCAGTCGCTTTATCAAAAGTGTGGCTGTACTGGCAGGTGAACAGACTGAAACCAAAGACAACCGCATGGAAAGCTGTGATGATGTATGAATGTGCACGTGTGTGTGTGTGTGTGTGTATATATACTCCATATGTTGTGAATGATTTCCGTTAACACTGTATTATGATATCTGAATTGATGGGCCTATCATATCTTCCTATCCATATTTGTAGCTGCTTACATTTCTGTTCAAAGAATTTCTAACCCATCATGCATTCAGTGAAAACCACAAATGGGACGAGGGAGGTTCAAATGCTGTACTGAAATTGTTTATCTCATGTCATTGTGGTGTGTCTGCTGAAGTGGACAAGACGAGCTTTGATGGTGGTTGCCTGTCATTATCATAAATAGATGACTATATACTGTATTATCATTTTTATGTGAATTCATATTCAACTCCTATGGCCTTAGCAACTCATAATAGTAGTATTTAAACACATGGTCACTAACAGCATCTTTATATCAAGAGTAAATATGCATGGCAATGAACCTGTTTGTAAGGGTGTGGGAATGTACTGAACACAACATGGAGATGATGCATATTCGTGCTCACCTAGAAACTATGAAGCATGCTGCAGGGTCTATGTTGTGAACTGGAAACTGTCTTATTGTGACTTTAAAAAGCAAGTTTCCATCTGCTGTGCAGAGTGCTCCTCGCTGTTCTGTAAAATTTGAGGATAAGAGTAGCATTTGTGAGTAAAAGGAGCTTATATTCCCAAAGTCACAATGTACAGTCTCTGGTCATTTACTGTGTAACACTTGACCTGATGTTTTGGGTTTTCTTAAAGCTACTTTAGTTTTGATTTGATTTGACTCCCTTCTGATGTGGATTAGCTCAGCAACAATAGAAAGCAGCCGTCACAAAGTAGTACTGACACAAGCAAGGGCAATGTGGCTTTGTGAGTTATTTCTGCTCTTTTTATGAATTCTGCACAGTCCCGAGTGGCCTTAAATTCATTAATAAACTGATGATTTAAAATAAATGGTGTTACTTTATTTTACTTTATTATAAACATTTAGCTGACGGTTTTACAATTGCTATATATGTCAGAGATCACATGCCTAGGGGTGTCTTGCTCAGATACAATAACCTAAAGGCGAATATTGAAAATTAACATAATGAGAAAACTGACTTGAGCTGCAACCCAAAATTGTGGAAATGAAAAAGGTTGTATTACTGTGGGAAAACCGCAGTGTGAAGAACGTGTCATTTTACAAATCGCTTCACTTTTCAACATCAGTCATTGATAGACCCACTATTTATTGTCAAAATGTATTGTCACATATACTGTGTTTTAGAAGTAGCATTTCATATGTCTCAAACACGCATGACGTGTTTTAAAATTCCCATTTCAGTGTTATTTTTAGGGCATTGATTCCAAAGCAGTTATTAAAAGAACTTTATTTATACGTTTTAAAACAGATACAAATGTGTTTCCAGAGACTAAAATAAGATACCATAGTGGGAGTAAAACAAATAAAACCCACACATAAAGCTGCATACTTAATGTATAAATCGGCATGCATTTCTCCATACTTTAGCCTGGTAGACTCATCCCATAATTTAACAGTTACATAAATATTTACAGTTCTCTTCTATGAATGAACCCTTCCTACATTTTGACAAACATACCACTAACTAGACTATTTTCCTAATAATTTTAACCTGGAGGGTTAAATCTTTGATTCTCCATAAATCACTGGAACTGAGTGTGTTGTACAATCAAGAGGACCAATACAGCTATATAAAAAGTACAATTTATCCTTAAGTCCAATAGAGGGCTCTCTATGACCACATGTGACTCCCATAGCTCTTACAGTCCATTTTTTGAAATGTTACACAAGAAATAACTAAATAACATGCTAATATGAACAACAACTTGCATTATTTGTGTTTTAACTATTTACTTGTGGATAAGCTTACATTTGTAATCAGAAAATAATGAATATCTAGAATACCTAGAATACCAAAATTAATTTGCTTTGTTTAATCTATGCACATTCTGCACAAAACCAGCAACTTAAAGTGACCAAGAAGCCACACCTCTCTCAGAGCTTGAACTACAGGTAATAACTTCAACCTGGTTAACAGAAAACAAAGAGCCAGGAATGGACAGTGACAAAATGTTAAATTGTCCAGTTATTTAATTTATGAGCAACTACCTGCAAAAATAAATCCTCAGCTGTACTTTGTATTTATTTTTGTATTTTACTTTGTCCTAATTTACAAATATTAACTTACTAATCCACTAAACTGTGATGGGGAACATGACATGATGCCTGTTTAACATTAGCATGCTAGTATTGTCACTGTAAGAAGAAACCCACCTACATTTAACTCACCTCATGGATGCACATATCCCAGACAAACCCCATTTGTTACACTCCACCCTTAGGTGGCCCTATAGGGTGAACAACACTCCTTCACTGACCCAAAACAACAATAGAAAGACACCTTTAAAACAACCAAATCCATGGGAAGACCATGTTATATTAGCACAGGTGTACTGCAGTCCTGTTTCATTCATCTTAGCAAGTGAATCACGAACCATGAAGTCATTTTAGGCAGTTTTCTTAACCCACGTAGGCTATATTCTTACTTCTTACTTCTGGCACAGTGCAAAAATCTTTTAAACTTAAAACAACATTGCACATTTTGCACACCTTACTGTAATTTATCATTTATATGCATGCATATGTTTTAAAGGCCATACTTTTTTTTGTTTGTTTGTTTTTTTTTTTTACTTTTTATGTTAGCACTTGTGTTTGATATTTGTTTTTTTTGCACAAACTTTGTGATTTTTGTCATGTATTGCTGCTGTGACATGGGAATTTTCCCCCAGGGATAAATAAAGTATGTTTCTATAAGGGCTGCACAATGACACAAAAGTCTAGCAACCGTGTGATGCCACAATTAGTGTCCCCACAATTTTTAAATGTATAAACCGGAGGTGTCTAAACCTACACACTTACATTAAATTATACACCTTAGTCTTGGTGCATTGGTGATTTTGTGGTGGTGGTGGTGACTCATGATTACTGGGTTAAGCAAGGGTGAAGAAAAAAATATCTAAATTACTCACATTTACACACAGTGTTTACTCTACTGATGTAGGAAAAGCATACCCCAGACAGAGGTGCAGACAATAAAGTTAATCATCATTCCTGGATTTGATCTAGCGGCTTAATTTTCAGGGTAAAGGTACTGTGCATGCTGGCTCACTGTCACACTGTCATGGCTTAGTTAGATACTAAAAACAGAGTCATCGTAAATGCTTTTAGTAACACAAGCCATGAAGACAAGAAAGGTAAGAAAACAGACAGAGGTCAGTATGCTGAAAAATGGACTACAATCTAAAGATATAGTCCTTTGCTCTTAGGGTTGTTTATCAAGGTGTTTAGTTTGCTGCATCATAACTGGCCATCTTCAAAAGGAGAATCACATGTCATTAATATGTGAGGATGACTCTGAAAGACAGAAGTTGTTTATGTTACAAAGAAAATAAAGAGTAATTCCAGCATGTGTAGAGCTGTCTTGAAAATGTATTAACTTGTATTTTGAGTATGCTTCAGACAGGGAATGTTGAATAATTTGTTCAATGCAGGGCAAATTAAGTACTTATTTAAATATATAAAAAAAATGTTTTATTGTCACAAATTTGAAATTCATACATCTCCCAAAGATAAAGTGCTTTGCCTTAAACTTAAGTTCTCTCAAGTGCAAAATCTTAATGGCATGGCTTACCAGGTTTGCTCATGTTTTTTCTGCTGCTGAGGACTTATTATCTAGCGCCACCATCAGGTCAAAGTTTTTACTTTTCCAATGAAATATCTCTACATCTACTGGATGGATTGATACCAAACAAAGTAGGCTACAGACATTGGTGATCCCCAGAGGATGAATCCTAACAACTTGGTGATCCCCTGACTTTTCCTTTAGCGCCAACATGAGGTTGACATTTGTGGTTGCGAGTGAAAGGTCTCTGCAACTATTGGATGGATTGCCCTGACATTTGGTACAAACATTCAGGGAGGATTTGATTGATTGTTTGGTTTCTGACCATACCTACAAAACAAATGACATTCCCAGGAACATCTGCTGTAGTCTTCTTTTTTTTTAATAGCGTTAATTAGCCAATGCTATCATGCTAAATGCTATGCCTACACCTGCTGGACATTAACATTGCCAATGTGAGCTGTCAGTTAACATTAGGCTCAAAGCACCAGTTTTTCTAAGTACACCTTCAAAGAGACAAAAGAATGGAGAATATATACTCATAGCAAGATTAGGCCAAGTGATTTGTTTCCATTGTCACTTTTTGGTGTTTTATTATTAAAACAAGCATGGCAATGTCAACAGAAATGACTGTCAAGTGACATTTTTATTTCACTCTCTTATGTGTGTGTCTTTTAGCTGCCACTTTTCTTTCTCAAAGGTACTTCTTTTGCAGTGCCCAAGACTTTGGGGGGCCTTCCTCATTGTTATGTGTTGCCACTTCACATGGACTGATTAGCAGTAACACTCTACAGTAAATACAGTATTTGTCCATTAATTCTTAATCCTGAATGGTCCTTCTGAGGGCGTGTTGCTTGATCTGCTTAAAGTTTAGTGTAATGTTCTCATTGGAAAGGGCTGAATCTCATTAGTCTTCATGCGTAAGATGTCCGAATGTAGAAAGGATATGACAACCTAAAAGATATGATGCAAACTTTCAAAAGAATAGTTTGTGAAGAATTATCCCAGTTTGTGTTGACTTTTGTTCTTGTCTTGTTCATTAATTTAGTTTAACTTGTCATATCTATGCCTTAAGCAAATGCTTATATTGCTTAATGCTTAGGGCATACAGCTTTTGTGCAATTCTTCAGACAAATTCTTTGCTACCTTATTTTGCAAGCACATCATCATCACTGTGCGTGAACAGTTGTCTGAACAGCTGCCCATGTTACATAACCCACATGGAGTTCTGCAGAAATACCAGTATGTAGCTTTAAACAGCCCAAATAGAGACATTATACTCCTCAGCTCTGCAAAGGAAACCACATATCTCACTTGTGGCTTAGATTGACTAAAGGATTAACAGCTCCAGATCCACAGATCACAAATCACTTTTCACACACAATACCACTTACAATGTCATTGGTCTGGAGAAGGAGTCAACATGTGAAGCGGTTTTAACACAGATCAATGTGAAAAAGACAGACTGTAAGTCTTAGATTTGAAAAAAAAAACTTTGCTATTTGACGCACTGAGCACGGGGAGCACACTTAGTATTCAGTGCAGTGTTGACGTTTTAAGGCATTAACTGCATTATTACTGCAGCATTGCAGCAACAAAAATAAATGGCTAGGCTGTGTAACAAGCTCTTCTGGTTTTAAAAAGGGTCTGTAGAATGAAAAACAGAGCCTTTTGTTTTGTGTGCCTGAGGCTGAGCTCTGAATTTTGAATTCTGCACCCAGAACTGAAATTATTTTTATGTTTTATGTTAGTAAGACAAAACAGACACATGAAGACATTACCTTGGGTGTTAAGTAATTGCGATGGGCATTTTTCACAGTTTTCTGATGTTTTATAGACAAAACTAATAAGCAGAAAATTAATAATGAAAATGGTCGGCCCTGCTGCCCTATAACCGTCACCTGAGAAGACAGCTGTGACTTTTATTTGTTGTTTTTTGCCCATGTAAATGTTCCTTTTCTTTTTTCTGGTAATTACAAGCGACAAAATCCTGGCTGGTTTGGTTTTCATTTCTTACAGGTGTGTACCTGTGAAAATGAAAATGAAGGCTGAGTTTGAAGATGGGTGTGGTCTAGCCCTTACTCATGTAAGAGTGCTAATGATTTGGAACATCAACACATTGTTGGCTGGTGTGATTCAATGATAGCTACAGAAAAGTAATCACTTTTGTTTATAATTATATTTATTATATAATAAATATAATTATATATTTGCTTCTTGTCATTAACTATTTAATTAGTATTATTACTTATTAAAACAACTAAAGCAATGACAATGTAATGAAAAAGGTGTAATACATATGAGCATAAAGCATCCCAAAGAAACAAAATCTATCTCAACAGATATTTCAGAATGTATTTATATACATAAATAAAGATAATGTAGATAAGATAAGATAACTGTATGAGCCACGTTCACGGCTCATACAGTCTGATACATTCAGATGCTGAAAAACATTCACAGATGGTTGTTCGTGCAAGCAGATTCTCTCTTGGCAAGTAAATTAGAAGCTCAATCAAATTCCTGATTATCGTGTTTCAACACAACCAAACCCATTTCATTTTCAAGAAGTCTCTCATTACCGCTTCACACTACCATACCGCATTTTTTTGTGACAGGTCCATTGTATCTGTGGCAGAAGCAGGTGCCTACCATAGCTTTATCTCAATTTACTCTTTAGCTCAGTGGAAAGATAACAAAAGCTAAGTGACACTAAACTAACCATTGCAATCATTTTTAAGTATCTGCCGAATAACAAATCCTTGAACTCTCATTCTTAGCCTACTTGCTATTAAACTTGACATCGTCAAACTTCACTATCTTCCCATCACGAGTCACCACCTCCTTCTGCTCCCATGTCCCCATCTCCCCATTTTTCTCCTCAAAGCGGCGCATCACCACCCTCCCTGTTGTGGGAAGGTTGCAGGGCAGATCCCTGGCAGCCTCCTGGAAAAACCTCATTTTCATGAAGTCTTGCGTGAGGTCGGCTCCGCCCATTGGCACCAGAGCCTGGTTTTTGCTCTTGTCCTCTGTCATCTGAGTGGGAGGGGAGAGATGCTGTTTACCATCAGGATAAAAAACTTTTATGTCTGGTCTGGGTGAACGCTCCCATTTCAGCGGTGACGGAAACTTGTTGAGTGGTGATGGATCTTGGTTAAAGGGTGAAGGAGTTCTGTTTAATGGTACCGGATCCCTATTAAACGGTAATGGTTCCCTGTTCAGTGGAGATGCTCCTCTGTTCACTGGTGATGGATCCCTGTTCAGCAGAGCTGCTCCTCTGTTCACTGGCAATGGATCCCTGTTCAGCGGAGATGCTCCTCTGTTCACTGGTAATGGATCCCTGTTCAGCGGAGATGCTCCTCTGTTCACTGGTAATGGATCCCTGTTCAGCAGAGCTGCTCCTCTGTTTACTGGTAATGGATCCCTGTTCAGCAGAGCTGCTCCTCTGTTCACTGGTAATGGATCCCTGTTCAGCGGAGATGCTGTTCACCTGTTCAGCGGAGATGCTCCTCTGTTCACTGGTAATGGATCCCTGTTCAGCGGAGATGCTCCTCTGTTCACTGGTGATGGATCCCTGTTCAGTGGAGATGCTCCTCTGTTCACTGGTGATGGATCCCTGTTTTGGACATTAATCTGTGGTGCAGGTGGCTTAAGTTGGTCTTTTTGAACAGCTGTAGTGGTGACGCTGCCTGCATCTGCGGCCTTTCGTATCTCACTTATGACCCCTGCTATGGAAGCCCTCAGAGTAGGGTCAGGCTCCACCATCCTACACACAGCGTGGCAGTACGGCTGATCCTGCAGGGTCTCCTTGATCTTGGCTGGACAGACGCTGGGCGTGTACAGCCGAATCCGGGCACAGAGCTCAGCAATGATCTTACCCATGGCCCACACGTCTGAGCGCTGGTCCCGCTGGCTGCACCTTTGCAGCACCTCAGGGGCCGAGTAGGCCTCGTTCCCCATGTCTATGGCAGAGTTGAGACCATGCCGGAAAAACTTGGCCAGTCCCAGATCGATGATGACAGCTCTGTTTGTGTTATGCTCCACCTGGAGGACAAATGTTGTTTAGTCTGTTTGAAATATTGTCTTACAAAAGTACAAACTGAGGCTGATAGCAATGTCACAACTTTTGCAGGTCCTTAGTCATTGAGCAATGTGTTGGGCTAATTTCAAATTTTGACCCGATGATGGTGCTAGTTCAAACGTTAAGGGATCACCAAAGTAATTACAATTTATCCTGAGGGAGACATGAATGTGTGTACACAATCAGTCCGATAGTTGTCAAGACATTTAAATCAAAACTGGAAATGTCACATGGTGGCACTAGAGGAAAGGTCAGGGAATCAGCAAAGTCATTCTGATTTATCCTCAGGGCTCGATGAATGCCTGCCCAAAAATGTCATGGTTGAGATATTTCAGTCTGGACCAAACTAGTGGACTGACAAACCGAGCGACATTGCCATCCCTAGAACCACCCACGCTAGCATGTCTAAAAACTATGACAGGAAAATGTATGCAAATGGTCAAAACACAAGCAAATGAAGAAAATATCAAGAACACTTAGGAAAAAAATATGTCCCCTTGCAAAAAGACATTGTGTAATGTGAATTGTGTATGACTTGCAGCGTTTCTGTATTTGTACTGTCTGTGTTGTCGAAATGGTGAAAAATTTGTTTAGTGTACTAACTTATGTGTTCTTAAACTGCAGTGCAGTGAGCTCTCCCGGCCACTGTAGAAAACCACTGTTAACCAAACACATCTTCCTGACACAATGTAACTATAATGCCAAATGACATGAATGAGTCTACAGTAAAACAGAAGTTTGTTATTCAGAAGAATCAACTGTACGACAACCGCTATTAATCCCAGAGAAGTCCTCAGGTTAAAATGTGTTATTTTTCAGCAAACCTTATTTTTAAGATTTTTATTAGCAACCTTATTTTACTGGAGACAGAGAGACATTATTTCTTTATGAATCATCATTCTAGCAACATAAGGATTCATCGGTTAATATCAACCTTCGGTGCTCCTATCAGTGTGTGCATCAGTGTGCTGAACTTCTGTGCAGGTATCCACTCACCATGATGTTTTCAGGCTTGAGGTCTTGATGGACAATATCTTTGGAGTGGAGATGAAGCAGCCCTTCACACATGCCGACGATGATAGTGCCTTTATTAGCCGGAGTCATCTGTGGAGATCAAATGTAGCCAAACTGGCATCAAATATCACCCGCATAATATTCAAACCAACTTTCTCATCTTGAGTTGCACGCCTTTTTACTTCAGGCCTGATTGAGACTGCTTGTCTGAGGTTAACAAGGTGTGACATGAAATCATTGAGGCAGGTACACACATGCAAACCCTATCATACATCTCAGGACTGACTTTGGCAGACTACAGTCACAGAAAACAACACATTGTCACATAGATTTGTCCAGATTTCAGAAAATTTAGGTACGAGATGTGTCAGAATACGATTGAGATTTATGTCATAAACCAATGCACCAGGTGACCTGCCTTATTTTGGACAAACAATGAAGACTCTCGAGGATCTTTGTCATCATGGTCAAATTGGATCATGACATATAGTGTTAGGCTTTAAACAGTTTAATAAAAAACAAATGTAGTTTTACTATTTTTGGATTCTAGGTACTACTATCCTTAATTTTCACCTTGAATCATGTTCCTTTTGTCTGTTGCCAGGAAAACTTTACCTGTATTTTAGACTTTGCTGTTTTGAATATGGTGGTCTCTAAGTCCTCTCCAAAGATAAACTCTAGAGGAATGATCCATTTTCCGTCTTGGAGTGTTATGTTTCCCAGGAGTTTCACTATGTTGGGATGATTTGCCTTGCTGCGGATCAGTGGTTACAAGTCATGGAGAGAAAAAGAAATTAAACAATCAGCATAAAATAAACTATTTACTATTTGTTGGCTGAAAGATTTGAAACCATCCTGATCTTCTATCTTTAGATAGAAGATTCTGCTTGAATGTCTTGTAAAGTTTTCAATCTCAAATGGACATCACTTTTTAAAATCTGCAGCTCAGATTTTATAAAGTTCCTGCATTTCAGATTTTGTTCAGTTCCATGTTTTTACATAATCAAAAATCAAGATCATTTGTATAGTTAAACAAACCCCAAAACAACTGCTAACGATGTGTCATTTAATGTCCAAAAATATTTTGTGTATACAAGAAACCAAATAATTACATTACTGTCATCATAAATGTACACCCTCCATCCCAGGTGTGGCCTATTGTTTTGTTCCCTATTAACAATAATAAAGTACTTTATATTTAAAAAGTTTTAAAAAGAACTTTTCCAATTCCAAATTTTTCTTGTAAGTATATGACTAATTAAAAGATTATTATTTACCATAAATAATTAAATTGTAACATCAATACTGTTATCCAGTAATAATATTACTATACTTTGATATACTGTAAGCTAAGGAATTTGTCTACATTACATTGTACAGTAAGTAAATACTGCTTCCATAACATATTTTGTTGTTCTAAATAAAATTTTAAAAACGTCACCGCAAAAGAAAGAGACTTGTGTTTACATCTCCTGACATTTTGGAAACTTAGGTGTTTTGCCTTATCAGCTTCTCCTTTTTCAGTTTCAGTAGTGCTCATCCATGTTTGAGACTGCAAACATTAATAAAATGACTTGTACTTACTTGTACACTTCACACTCTCTCTCCAGGTCCTTCCGACAGATGAGCTGCTGGGGGACCTTCTTTACAGCAGCCCAAGTATCATTGTACTTCTGCTTGTACACCTTACCAAAACAGCCCTGTGCGAGAGTGTTGGTGGAGTACGCCATCTAGGAGACTAGACAGTGAGGGAGAGGTCATTTTATAATCATGATGAAGTTTTACTTTTTTGATGCTGTTATGTAAATATCTCTTTGCTATGGCTTTTTTGTGATCACGGTTTCTGTTTGTCATATTTGTCGCAAATGTTGTTGTGATTTTTGGGACTTTCCTCTTTGTCAGCTTGCAAAATACTGTTTGTGTGTTTGTGACTGGGATACAAGACCAATTCAGACAGAAACAGAAACTATTATGAGCATGGTTATAGAGTCAACCAAACAGGTGACTCATATTTAGCTAACGTATGCATCAGCTATGTCAGCATAAGGTTATTTATTGAGATACCAAACTCAATGAATACAATTAAATATAAAATACACTAATAAAATGTACATCGTTGTAGCTTATACTGCCCAACAGTAAATAAATTTGTTATAATTTGCTTTACATTAAAATGCCTAAGACACATAAATGCATTGGTATTAATAATCGAATAATACAATATAACACTGTCAGGAATCATTCTGTTATAATAATAGAACTTTTACTTTGGATATTTAATACTTGATATTTCAAATACTTCTGTACAATTTAAAATGTTTTTACTTGTGAAATATTGCTATTTTTATGTAAGTTAAGAACTGAGTATTTCTTCCACCACTAACAGCCTCATAAAACCAGCTGAAAACATTATATGATTTACCAAATTGCTACTAACCACAGAGCTCCTGTGTTGGATTGTCGATATCTCTACAAATGTCTTTCATCCGAAATTCAGAATGGGTTAAATATAAATAAGCATTCTCAGTAAGGAAGTGTAACCAGTATTGAGTAAGACTGGGTATTCTGGGGCAGTGCCTTCATTTTGTGTTGCATAATTGAATATATAATTTGCCGAACAGATCAAAGATACTGTGTGGGTGATGATTAAAAAGGTCTGGAACCAGGAAATCCCAATGAATAAATAGTACAAGCAAGCTGCTCACCTCAGAGACCGTCTAAATTAACCATAACTGAGCCAGTTGTGTAAGCTTCCATGGGCTGATCTAAACATCATTTAAAGATTTTTGACAGAGGATTGACATCCATAACATTATTCTGCAGTCCATTTCACACAGCCTTTGAGCAGTGTATTGTATAAGAAGATATGAAGCTGACAAACTGGTCAATCAACAAGAAGAATTGGAAGAAAGAGATGTTTGTCTTTACAAGCTGCCAACTTTGTACACATAGAAACTCCCACACAGTCATGTTTAAGCTAACAGCTTAAGAATGAATAGTCATAGTATCAGAGAATATAGTCTAGACACCTTACAGCAATTTATATTCACAAAAGACAGACTGGAGGTGTTAGAAAAAGTACATTACTCAGTGAACTCACAAAAGGCTAATTTGTTAATATATTCTGTTTTTATAGCATTTTTTGCTATAATTAAATAGCAACCTTCTAAAGTGCTGTAATCAAGTTGATCCAGAGCCAATACTACACAAGCCTACAATTTTTTTTAAAGTGGATACATGTTCCACAAAAATCTTCTTAGGTTCTTACCTTTTTGCTGTAGAGAGAAAGCTGCTGCGTCAGGTCTGAACATGAGTTGACATAGCTGTCTCTCTTTATACCTGTTCCACGCCTTCTTGTGTCTTGTCAATGGCCCTGAGCGATGCAGGCACACCTGAGTACTACAGCAGCCTTGCTGGATATCTGATTAACAGGACATGTGAGTGTGTGGATGGAGCTTCACTGACACAGCCAAGATGAGGTGAGGGGTTTTCTCACTAATGACCATGTGGAAAATACAGGAGCAATACTTTTAATAAATTTTTATATAGTAGCACTAATATAGCGGCTAGTTAGTCTGTATGTCAGAGCTATGGATCAATTATGAAACAATGGACGCATGGGCAGAGACACTTAAAGCAACCAAGTTGATTTTGTGACTAAAACCTAATCAGACCATGACCATGATATTGCCAAATCATAAATCTGATTTATTTATTTATACTTTATTATAGGTGATGTTGCAAGGCACTGACAAATTATGTGGTCCTGCCAATTGGAGGGCCAGATCAGAAAACACTTCTGTGTCTTTGTTGAGTGAAAAACAAAGTGCTATGTGGCATTTATTGGTTGACTTGTTGCTTAACAAATATTGGATAAATACCCATGAACTTTTGTACAGACATTTGTGTTACCCTGAGGACGAATCCCACTGATGTTTGACTTTTCCTACAGACCATTTGTGGTTTTAAGTGAACATTAACAACTATTTCCATTTATTATTGATGCAGACATGTCCCCCTCAGGATGAATTTAAGTTGCTTTGGTGATCCTTTAACTTTTAAATCTATCTATATTGTTAGAATGTCAGAATTGTATTTATCTATATATTCTTTAAAGAGTTTTTGGTCATTGTATGCCTTTATTAGAGAAACAAAAGTAGAGAGATGACAGGATAGGAGGGGAAAGAAAAGGGGAATTACACACAACAAAGGTAGGGACCTTTGTTGTGTGTAATGGCCCTGGTGGGACATGAATGGAGGAAGTTGTGGTTCATGTTTGGTACTTTAACACCTGGGCAGTGATACACCCATGGCCAGGGAAAAACTTTTATGATTACTCATTTATTCACATTTCTTTCTTTTAATTTGTCATCCATCTGTATTTATATGAAGGACATGGGTGACTGCTTTAGTTCAAATAAAATCCTGCTGAAAATGAATTGCAGAAAAACGTGTCTAAATGTTTCCCACAGAATGACAGTTGTAATGACACACTCACACTCTCTCTTACTCACAGACACACACACACACACACACACACGCTTTACTGACTCTTACTGCACACAAACTGGCTTTAGCGTTTTTTCTCTTCCTGTATGCGTCTGCTTTGTTGACTTTCTCCGTCATCAGTAGGGAGAATTTGTGTAATCTGGGACATTTTATTGCAATTTTGACTTCTGTAACTTATTCCCTTATCTTTCTTACACATCTTTCAACACATTAAATCCTTAATTTCTTACCACACCTGTAGAAAGAATGTAGATATCATACCCAGAGGAGATATGACACACCTATTAGTTTACTTGTGTCAAAAACAAAATTCTGCCTGGAATGTAATCTTGAACACTTGTATTAGGCCTAAAAAAGCCTAACTTACTTTATGCATGCATAACTGAATATCACCAAATTTTAAAAATCATTGTGAAAAAAGGACAGACAGCTGAAAGCTTGAACATTTACATTAATTCATATAAAAAGATAAAAGTCATATTTTTAAGAACTAAATAAAGAACGTGGTCATGCAGGCCCGTCTCATTGCAGTTTTAATATGGTCTGGCATTTTCTAAGCCCTTGTACTCCATAATTGCTGAACTACTTCATAACTACCTGGTAGACTACCAGCCCACTGCTCCAGAAGGTGACAGACCCTCATGCTTTCTGATACTAAAACAATGTGTAGCCAGCTTTTTGCTTGGTTTCAGAGAAGGCCTTTTTTTTGAACGGTTCTGGAGATTGGATAAGGTTGTGGGTGGTCCGATGGATAGCACTGTGGCCTCAAAGCAAGAAGGTCGCGGGTTCAAACCCCGTTTGCCCCGGCCTTTCTGTGTGGACTTTACATGCTCCAGCTTCCTCCCACCGTCCAAAGACATGCGGACTAATTGATTGGTGACCATAAATTGTCAGTGTGACTGGTTGTTTGTCTATGCGTGGCCCTGCGGCATGTTCAGGGTGTAGCCTACCCCGCCCGTTGTCAGCTAGGACAGCCTCCCTGTACGCAGCGGTTGACGATGGATGGACAGTTCTGAGATTTCTCCTAAGGATGGAAGATATCCAGAACCGCTCTGTGGAGATTTGGCTTTTTGTTTGACAGTTGACATTATTGCTTAAATGTAGCCCATATCAGACTCCAGTGTGAATTGTATGCAGCCTGAAAGTGACCCGCATTTGCAGAATAATAACACAACGTCTGCTCTAGAGTGACGATAAGTCAAAATCGCATCAATTCCGACCTGAATTATATCACCAGCCTAAACCAGCCTATATAAGCTATATAGCCTATATTTGACCTCAGTCAAAGGCCACAACAAAATGGCAAACATTATTGAAACTATGTTGAATCAGCATTCTGCTCTCAATGCTAATTTAATTGAATCAACATCAGACTCTGATGGATATTGTGCTATTTGTCAGTATAAAATGGTATTGAAACACTTGTATATAGTCTATGACTGCATATAATGTTAGACAATGTCAATAAATGATAAATGTCTACAAATTTGGTACAATTAAACATTAGATAAATAAATATGTGCTTACCTGATGTGGACTTGTGAGATGTGTGGGGTTCAGGAACGTTGATCCACCAAGTGATGGTCTCCAGGTCAATAATGCTACATTGACTTTTCAATCATACAGTAATTCCCGGTCAACTATAAATCCATGGCTTTTCAATATCACGTTATTTCCCAGTCAACCATAAATAGAGGATTTTTGATCCCGGTCAATTACAATTCAATGATTTTTCAATATTGTTGTTGTTACCCAGTCAACTACAAATCAATGCTTAATCAAGTATAATCGGGGCAACTATAAATCAATATTATTCCAATGTCACGCTCATACATGGTCGTTTTTCACCAGTACTGCAATATTGATTCAACATCTATTTAGGGTTGAGATTTCAATCTCAACCATTCTGATGATTCAGATGGAAAATCAATATATATTTAATGTAGTCTTGCTATCTTTAAACCAAGCTTAAGCAAACTTAAAAGGGTATTTCAAACTAATATAACAAAAGTATGAGGTATATGTAGTCTGTTTCAGTAGTGTCTGGGCAGGATGTTGGTTGCATGTGTGTGCAGGGCCCGTTTCAGAAAGCGGGTTTAGTGAAAACTCTGAGTTAGTTGAGCCCGAGATCAGATAAACTCTAGGTCTGTAACCCCGGCAACTTATGCTGTGAACCTAACCTGATCTGGAGGAGCTGAGTTTCTCTCTGACTCCTCCCATCCTGCGGAGCTTGAAACGGCTGTCAGACATTTCCTCATTCAGACTGTCGATATCAAAGCACATGTTGGAACACAGTTAACCTACGTCTTCAGAAACATCCAAATCATGGTTAAATAGGCTGTTTTTTTTTTTACCCAAACATGATCTTGAACATGACGCTTTTATGATCAATCTGTCATCGATGTATGGACAGAGAGTTATCTTTGGACTCGTAATTAAGCAAAAAACTTAACTACAGTCCTTTAGCTTAAACACAGACGAATGAATTAAGCGAAAAACGCGAGCCCATACAAGTCTGATATACCAAACTACCTCAGCACATACAGTCCACAGTACTTAACAGAACAGGGAAAAAATCAGGGGGATACGTCACATTTCACGGAGTTATACGAAAGAAGCTGTTTTCAGTCACGGAAAGTAAATTCAATCAAGCCATCTTTTTTTTTGAATGACGAGTTGTGTTTATTGTGCCATGTGCCATGTGCCATGATCACATGAAAGATTAGTTAGTACTTTAACACATCCTGAAGTTTTAAATGTCAAAGTTTTACAGTTTAGAAGCTAGTGAAGTTTAAACGTCAACTGTCGGGACGATTGTTTCGCAGCCATTCAACCTTATTTAGATACGGAAGAGGGGCGAGCCCACCAGGCTGCAGGCTGGAGCACCAGGATGCTCACAGCCAAATAACAGGATCTTCACATTAGACCAGGAAAACAGGCTGCAGATGTACATAAAAAGGGCAGCCGATATCTGATCCAAATGTGCATTAGCTGTTAGATTTTCCAGTGAGCTAGCAGAGTTGTATTTATACTATTTTTTATTAAGAAAAGGGACATAATGAGTTTGCAATTACATATTAAGAAGGGCAGTGTCAAGCTTTCGAAATAAAAACAAGAATAACTTATGTATGTCGTTGTGTTTCTTCCCACCCCTGTGTTTCATCTGTCCCGCACAGTAGGGACGAATGAAACAAGCGCACCTTTCCTTCAAAGTGATATTATAGACTGAAGTCCTGTAGAAGAGTTGTTGATGACAACAACAAATGATTTCTGTCAGTAACGTTATATTTTAAAATGACGTATATCTGAAAAGTGTTTCATTCGTCCCGGCTCTCGCTACACTGTTTAAAGTAATCTGTACAAAACTGATCAATGAACAGTAGCCTAACCTTTCATATTGTAGTCGCACAGATTGAACATATCGTAGTTATCAGCTGGATATGATGTGAATCTTTCTGAGTGAGGATGACTGTGGTGCAGCTGAAACAAATAGCCTACATGTACAGCTGAATAAACAGGCCTGTAGCTGTTTAAAATGAACAACAGGCTGGAGGAGAATTCCAGCACTTCATTCATTAAGGAAATTCCAGTCTGGTAAATAATGAATGAGCAACGCTGTATAAAATATAGCCTGATATTGTTAACGATCCTGCGTTTTAAAGCCTATCATGGTCCGCGTTGGCAGCATTCATATTTCTAGCTCCACCCGATTAAAATGGAGGCTCTGCCTTTATTTATCCGTTGCCATGGTGAATCGTAGTATCGGAGCTCCATTGATTATGGCTTTTTCCCCCCATCCCCACGCACGCGCTTCCATCAGGCTCAACATACTCTGAGTTGATTGAACTTATTCTGATCGGCCTTTCTGAAACGGAAAACTCGGAGTTTGACAGCTCAGAGTTCGTCAACCCAGAGTTCAGGTTTACACTCAGAGTTTGTTGAACCTTCTCTCTGAAACAGGACCCTGGTGTTGTAGTATGCAAAAACAAGATAAATACCACAAAGTAAGAGTCCAAAACCAAACTAAAGGAGAAACCGGGGAGCCGGTCGCAGGGAGGTCTGAACTGTTCTTGACAGCAGCCTCTTTGCAGAATGAGAAGACAGTCCCAAATAATCTAGAGCAATTAGCCCAGGTGCCCAGAGTTCAGCAATCAGCTCTTCCTCTACAAGAGGGGAGAGGGAGACAGGCCACACCCACTCATGACCCCACAGGGCATCACAATATACTTATATATATATATTGTATTATATTGGTCTTCCTCCCGATTGGGTGCTTCTGGTCCCCTGTTGCCTTTGACTCCTCATGGACTCTTACTTGCCTCCACTGTACTCAGCTAGAGCTTCCTTCATTCTACTCTCTGTCCATTGATTTAGCATCTTCCTACTTCTTTCATTTCCCTATCTCTCTCTCTTCCTCGCTCTTTCTGTTGCCCTGTCATTTGCTGAAGCTGTGGTGCCAGAGTATGTACTATTCTACATACTATTGTACTATTTCATTGAGTTCATTAAAGATCATGGATATTTTCATCTTTTAGCTGACTAATGACTCACATTTTGGGCCAGTTCTTCACTCACAGTTTTGAACTTCCATGCTGATGACATTTAAGCATGTGTGTGTGGCAATGGTTGGTTACTGTCTTTATTTGACGAGAATAGAACTGTATATATAAGATGGATCCAGAAGCGCCTTAGCTTAGCTCTAACTTGTAGAATTCCACTGTCCTCAGAGGAACAAGAGTACCTCAAAACAAAACCAAACAATGACTATTAAAAAAATTTTAAAAACTTATTAAATCCTTTAAGATGGACTAATGTGGTTAAGTAAAGGTTAAAGAAACAGAACACAGTGTTCCTTTGCGCTTAAGTCTACTGTAGGTGTCAAATTGCATCAGCCTAATTGGCCTATAGTTTTCTTCCACCAGATGGAGATAGTGTATTAGTAAGTTGTCTAGTTCATTTCCTGTATTACTTCTTTCAAGTGGAGTGCCAAACAACAGCTAATCTTCTCTGCTGCCGCTCATATTCACATCAATGACCCACCCAACGGATTATTTTTCAAGTCCTCGGTCTGAAAGTAAGTTTATCTATTTAAATTCCATCATTTGATTGCTTTAGGCGTGCAGTAAGCAAGCTTTTTACTGTGCTCAACTTTAAGGGCCTGCTGCATGTTTCATTCATTGCAAACCGGCTTTGACAGGATTTTGGTATGCACTCTGAGACCTGAACTCCTCAAGCTTTTGATCAAATCACAAGTTTTATTGACTTCAGTGACTAAAGAAACGATTTTGGTCACATATGTAAAGCTGAAATTGTGCCAGTAACAAACAAACAGGAAATCAACAGCATATGTACTTTATGCTGCTGTTGCATTTACATTCCTACAGGCAGTCATAGTGTTGTTATACAGTTTTGTCAAACTATATTAACATTACTGTTGTGTTTCATAGTCAGGTTTGTTTGTAAAGAATTAACAACAGAGTGCAGACGTTTTGTCAGATGAAGAGATTATTTTAAAAAGTAAGCAAACATTATGCTTGACTAGTATTTTTTCTGGTATTTGAATCTAATCAATGAAGGCAAAAAAATCTAGCTTAAAGTTTTGTAAATATTAACTATTATTATTAGTTTCACCGTTTTTATGTTTTACACCTGAAGGTGGCCAGGGCCTACACACCCAGGAGAGCGGGTATGTTCCTCACTCTTTTCTCTTTTATTATCCTTTCAAAACATGTAACCTTTGAATTAGGGTTGAACAATTAAAAATTATCGAAATCACAGTATGGCAATATCCAAATCGCGAGAGCTTTAATTTTTTGATGAAGGTAAAATGTGTTACAGCATATTGACACAGACTTTCTTTTCAGTGAAAATGAAATGAAAAAATTACCATTCCCACTAAAACGGTGACTTATATCACAATTGGAATATCTGTTAAAATAATTGCAATATGTTTTTTTTTTTTGCATATTGTTCAGCCCTACTTTGGAAGAGGTAAATTTGAATGTCATGTAATGCATGGCTCAACTGCTGATAGCTGGAGTCATTTTTATGTTAGCTGCTTCCTATGTTTATTTAAATTAATGTGGGGAAAATATGATAATTTGATATGTTCATTTATTTCTCATTAAAGTACCAGTACCACTCTTGCTTCTACTGTTAAAAAGGGAACATTTTTTTCTAAAGGAAGCATTCTGTTTTTTCATATTACAGTGATGCTGGCCTCTCCTCCAACATGGAGCACACGTTCACTGAAAATTACAGTGAAAGTGCTTTTCCTGTAGCAGATAAAGGCAGCTTAGTGACACCCATTCCTAAAGGGGAACTAGACGTCGTTGAGTGCCCTGTGAGGGTAGGAAAGATCTGGTCACACCCATCACCTTATGGCCATGCTGCTGCTCCATATGCAGACTCACATGTTGTGTCTGCTGATGAGGGGTACATAAAGACCTGCACTCTCACTGTGGTTCAAACCAACTACTTTCCACCACAAGCCACGCTGCCAGAGAAAAGTCTGGTAGAGGAAAGAGGGCAGCCAGATGTAGAAGTCATAGAAGAAGATAGATGCATCACGGAAACCACGATGAACACTGGAGGAAACCTAGCAAAACCTAAAGGTCCACCACTGGTTCCTGGAGAAGGAAGAAAGAGCAGTCCTCGCCGGAAAAGTGCTGCTATCAAGAACCGTAAATGTAATAACATTTCAATTTGTATAAATTTTAAATGATGAATAATTTATTAATTGAACCTAATATTTTTACACATTTTTATCATAGATAACATGGATCAAAATACACATGCAGTATTATTTAAGTAACTGACACTTAGTGGCTACTTTATTAGCTACAACGGTACAATCTATTGCAATTTGATACAATAGCCCGACCACATATTCTACCTTTACAAAATGTATAATGCTCAGTTATTGACATTGTCAGATGTGTGCAAATTCAAATAGATGTTAAATATTGAGGACACAGTTAAAGATGGTCTTGTATTGGATGATTTTATATTGTTGACAGCTTTTAATTTTCCTTTGTCTTCCCTATTAACATACACAAGAGTGGTAAAATATTAGAAACACTATAATGTAGTCCAGTACAAGACCAACACTAACTATGAGCTCAATGCTAAAACATAACTGATTTAACACTCTAAGACTGTGTCAAAAAATCCTGAACATTATAGGCATCATAAAATTAGACATTATGGCAGTTGTATTGGATTGCATTAGATTGAACAGTTGTGCCTAATAAAGTGGCCACTGAGTGTATAATTCTCATGTTATTACTGTATCTCAGTTATGGTATGCCTTCTTGCAGTGTAACGCTATTACTTCATGAGGAGAATACATTTTACATTATATTACTATAATTATTTTGTCTTTTGGTCTGTTATTTCCAGTCTACCTTCTATGTTGGATGGTATGCATACCTGTTCCTGCATCTGAGGGCTTTCCTGGTATGTGGTGTCAGTATGTTGGGCAGTGCATCCCTGTATTTATTTCTTTATTTAGGTTTAATTGTGTTGAATTGGAGCTAAAATACTTTCATTTAAAAGTGTACTCATTGTTTTGACAAACAATTCACAGTACATTTTAAACTGCTTGATATTTTCCCTATAGTTACTACCATAGATGCTCAACGTGCAGCAGACCAAACATGTAAGTTAAGACATTAAACATGTAAACCTGTTGAATCGACTAAACTGCAGTGATTTTGTTATTTCAAATCTTATCATAGCAAGATTTTTTAAGCACCCTTACTCTGAAATTTTTATTTACTCCTTAGAGCTCTTTAGAACTGTTTGTATGTGTTACTCATAAATGTTTATCTATGTTTTGACCGCAGTTAAATGTTATACCTGCATGGACAAGGTCAGATGCCCAAAGTTGTTGGCGATATATAACACCGAAGACACGAGTGTGTACCATAGAGACCTGAATGACACATTTCCAGGGTGTTCTGAAATCTCTCCACCTCCTCCTATGAGCTGTGCTGTGTGTCGTAAACTATCCAAGAGCCTTATCATCTGCTCAGATGATGTTGGAGCATTGGAGGTGGAAGATAGCGATGGAGGACAGAACTTAAACATCTCTTCAGTTGGTAAGTACTTTGCTATTTACAATACATCTAAGTTAAAACGGAGCTAAATGGGGCTACATAACTGTTGTTTCAACAGCACTGAAATGACAATATTTTATAGTGCAAAAACTCCTAACTAACACATTGAACTATAGTATGAATGGTGTTAAAATAACAGTTAGGGTTTTCCTCAGGAAGTTGTTTAGCTGGTGGTTAGAGAATGACTTCTGTGAGGTGGGTTGCATCTTGCCACGTGATTGGTAGTTAGCAGAAGGCAGTCTGAACACTGGTCACAGTCAAATAAATTTTCTCTGTGAAAAGGTACATCTCTTCTTTCCCATAAAATGTAATGTTTTATTTCATAAAAATGTTTTCATTTCTATAATGTTTCTATAATGTTTTTGCTGCTATGCTGCTATTTTAGAATGCAAACTACATCCTCCAAAATGATCATACAGTGGAAACAACACACAATCACTTAAACAAAATAACTTTTATGAAGGTAGGGTTTATTTTAGGTTTGCTCTTCATTAACATTTACAGTACATGTACAATATGCTCTTACTGTGAACAGTGTAATTCAGCATTTGTATACCTGAAGCCTTTTGTATCCCTTGAACAGGTTGTGCCATCATGGAAGATTTAGTTACACAGCAGCAGACCCACGGCCATGGACATGTTGGAGTATTTATTAGTGGTAGTATGTATTTAACACAAGCACTGACTGTAAATTTAAGACTGGCCTTGATGGACTGCATTATTTTTTAAAAAGCCATATTTTTTTCTTGACCCAACATGACAGCCACATGTTTTCATTTTGCAGGCCTCTTTTTGATTGTGGTGGCAGCGCTGGTGATCAGTGTAAGTCTGCATGAGACACAGAAGTGATTACATTTTAGGTTTTAAACATTCCCAAGTAAAATGTATTCAGTGCTATTCTAACGATACAATGATTGCATGTTTTTGATACAGGATGTCACATTTCACTTAATCACTTTACTTAATCTTTTTTTATTCTTTCCTTTTAGTGCTACCAGGAAAACAGGTAGGTTTAGTCTATTTTAATTTATTCCATTTCTTATCGGAATCTGGTTAATTGCCAAGTAGGTTTTCACATAAAATAAAAAATCTAAATAAAGTACTGCTATGTCAAGAAACATACATAGAAAAATACAGCAGCAATTTTAAAATTTGGAGAAGTGAAGTTAAGAGAAGAAATGAATATCATTATCATCTCTGTTTTCATAGTTAAATAAATTATTTTGGTACAAAATCATTCATACTTCCCTAAACAGAAGTTCTCACTGTAAGTTGAACAGACACTACACACTCTTAGATCATGTTTTTCTTCTTTTTTGAAATAGGATTGAAAATGGTCAACAGTGAAAAAGACTGCATGATCAAGAAGAAGACAGCAGAGGTCATTCTCTCGCCGTGCCATTTTATTTCCTACGTAATAATCCCTAGCTTTAGCTGCCACATACTGTAGACAGAGAATACTTGTAAAGGGTATTTTATAACTGTCTACTTTTTGGGACAACTGCTTATTTAGACTGATAACTGCAAGTCACAATTATTTCAATTATTGATTAATCTGCTTGTTATTTTGTTGATTGATCAATTAATCTTTTGGTCTACCCCCCCCCCCCCCCACAAAAAAAAAAACATATACCATCACAGTGCCTAAACTGATGTCATAAAATTGCTTGTTTTGTCTGATCAATACTCAAAAGCCCAAATATATTGAGTTTACTTTTACACATACACATGAATGACTAAAGAAAGCAGCAAATACTGGAAGTTGAAACTATCGGGAACTTTGTCCTTTTTCTGTACATTCAAAATAACTGCAGAATAATTCTCTGTCTATCATGTTATCGCTTATTTGACTAATCTGATTCACCTCTGCTTAATGATTATGTTGTTTGAAATTAGTAATCTTTCTGCAAAAATGGCCTAATGAATATGTATACATGCTGTCTTAATAAAAATGACTTTAAACAACATATGGTTCTGTCAAATATTTATAACACAGCCTCAGCTAATCATTGGGGAAGAGGTACTAAGTAAAAGTTGCAATACCACAGTGTAAAGATACTCTGTTACAATTCCTGCATTCACATTTTTGCTTAAGTAAAGTGAACAGCAAATGCTACTAAAACACTCATTATACAGAATGACCTAGTTTAATCTTTAGTTATTTATTTGTTTATTATTTATCATATTAATAGGTGTGGCAGTGGTGCAATGGATAAGACTATGCCTTTGGTGTGAGAGACCCGGGTTCAATACCCCACTGTCCATCAACCCATCCACCAATGCGTCACTGAGCAAGACACTTAACCCCTCGTTGCTCCAGAGCACGCGACCTCTGACATGTCTAGCAATTTTAAGTCGCTTTGGATAAAAGCGTCAGCTAAATGAAGAAATGTAATGTAATAATTGAATCTACAAAGTAGTGGCGTAAAATGGAAATACTCTAGTGAAGTCGGCTATCTCAAAATTATCTTTGAATAAATGTACATAGTTATTTTCCACCACCGTGAATATGATTTTCAGATTACAATTTGTCATACCCTTCCTGTCCAGTGAAAACCATGACTCTCCAAATTTGATGATTTTGAATTAAAATGTTTCTGATAAACCAGAGGATTAAATTTTCTTTAATGGATTGAGAAAATGATCCTTCTTAATAAGACTAATTAAAGTATAAATATAGGCATAGTAGCAAAAATATGTACCTAAATAACCTAAAGTGAAAGGATTCATTATACAGAATGGCCCACTTGTAAATAGTATATGTTGGATAATACTGATTAAACCCCCCTGTGGATTAGCTGGAAAATGCTTCCTCACAAATTTGAAAACGGGAAAGTAATTCTGAGCTCATGAAGAGCTGACTTTTTAAAGATACTTAGTTCTCACAGGACAGCAAAGCTACAAATCTGTGATGATGTAGAATATGATGCATTTCTGTAGATACCAACCAGTATAAAAAGTAGTAGAAAGTAGCACAACCTTAAACATCAATAGCAGTAAAATGCACCATAAACATTAATTTAGCAGTAATATTAATCATACGGGCTAATAGTGAAACACAATGAATACTTTTACTTTTACTAAAGTAACGTTTTTAATGTGGGGCTACTTTTCGTGAAGTAGGCCTAGAGGATCTGAATACGTCTGAACAGTCAATGGTAAATCTGCAAGATCTCACACCTACAGGAACTGGGACTTCCTTGGTTACTCCTCACACCCACACAGTTTCTATCACTTAATACATTACATTGCATAAATACTACGCCTAACCTTAACCTAAACATAAACATAACTTAAAATATTTACCCTAACACACACACACACACACACACACACACACACACACACACACACACACACACACACACACACACACACACACACACACACAACTCCCACAAACGGGTTGAACATTAACAAACAGTGCTTTGATAACGTTATCAGTGACTGGAGCGTACCAACTAGCGGGTGGGTGAAACAAAATCTGTCACATTTCTATCTTAGAGCATAAAAACATGTTGACAAGGTAACGGTTTCATATTTTAACTTGCCCTGCTCTCACCAACAGATCCTTGCAGTCTAATGGATCCACGCCGACCGAAAACACAAAGACAAATCAAAAACACCATTTACTAACTATTTACAAACCCCTGTGTTTCGCAACCTGTCTGTGAACGCTCACCTGTTGGCTGCGCGGCTGACGTGGGGCGTTCAGGTACTCCCATCGCCTACACACAAAGAGACAAAATGGAGTTGACGCTACCTGGCTGAGGAAAAGTATAGTTAGCGCACAATATTATGTAAAACCTTCAGTTTTGATCGTGTTTTTGATTAAAATATAATAAGCCAAATCTACTGAGACCGAGGATATAGGATTAAAAATGTTTTGGATGTTAATCATCGCCGCTTTAATGGCAACAGGTAAGTTGGTCTATTTTTTTTCCCAAACAGGGTGGGCCCGCTTCCGTGAAAAGTCCTTTTTTAAATAGTGCGTCCATGGCTGCTCGAGTGTTTATGAAATTTGGCACACTTGTTGATGTTTTTTTGGGTAGTGACTGCTTTGGGACGTTTATATTTAGGCCATATCTATCTTTCCATTTTTCTAAATATACAAACACAGATTATCAAACAGCAGTTTATCAAACACGATTTTTTGAACCATATTAATATAACAAAACATTAATAGTTTGTTCTTGTTTGTAGCTGTTTTATGAACCCTATAATGTTAAAGGTGGGTATAATTTTTTAGTGCCTACTTTGTTCACACTATATATGTTTTATGGCAGAACACAATTATTTGCTGGGTTATAAAAAGATACTATGGAACATGGATACGGAAAGTTTTTACGGGTTGTGGAATGGGTTGACATGTCAATGTGTACAAAGGGGAAAAATGTGATTGGGGAAATGTTGTTGCTGAATGTGCTACATGGAAACCACACATTCAGGGACACCCACACAGTTCTGTTAAATACCAAGGTCTCAGAGGACCTCCAATAAGTATAGCCATCATCATTTAGTGAATCTGAGATGCATAAAATTCAAACAAGACACTTGAAGAATAAATGAAGTAGGTTATAGGGTAGGTATATAGGTAGGGTAACTTACAATTCTGCTGTCTATAATTTTAACTGCACTTTATTATGGCTGAAAATATTGTTATATGCTGTAATATCTGTAAACAAAACCTGAACACAGTATATTCAGTTTCATGGTTACTTTGTGTCTTTTTACTTCTTTTTTTGTGCTAGGAAAAGTTAATGCTGAATGTGGAATCTACCATGAAGGTTTCCTTTAGGGCCTTTACATTTAACATTAAGGCTATGGGGAAATTAGCCAGTGAGAGAGACATTTAATTAAGAAACAGACACTTCCAGGAACACATCTGGCTGGATCTATATTTTTGTCTACGCATTCCATGAAAAGACCGAAACTGTATGTGATGACTGTGAATAAAGGCTAATCAGAGCCTGGTGTAGATTGTTCCTTGTTTTCAAGTAGTGTACTTTGCTGTAATGGACAGGCCTTAAACAGCCTGTCAGAAGTGACTCATCACACCCAGTCTCAGTGATACTAGCAGTGAGGAAATATTGTTGTCATATACCACACCCTAGGGTTAATGTCGATTTAACAGATACCGTTACACAATATCACAAAATGTGAGTAGTAGTAATAATATAATCCTCATTGTCATCAACCACTCAGCAATTAAAATTTTCAGTATTTTTTATTTCTTTCTAGAGTCCACCATGGCCATTTCGGTCCAGTGCCCCACAAAGAGGTACGTTGTCATCCTCTTCCAGCCTGTAACCCTCAGCTGTAGTTACCAGACAAGCGCCACTCAACCTCCTGTTGTCACGTGGAAGTACAAATCGTTTTGCCAGGACCCCATCCAGGCTGCACTGAATCCCAGCAGTGCAGCAAACGTCCTGGCTCAGAACAACCCCAACTACAACCCCAACATTGAGTGTGCCGACAGCCAGAGGACAGTGCGCATAGTGGCCTCGAAGCAAGGAAATGCTGTTACCCTTGGCACAGAATACCAGGGTCGCAAGATCAGTGTCATGAATGGTGAGTTGATCAAAATGTACACTTTACTAGACATCTGAATGGAATTGTATGGTGCGATGTATCTTTGATATATATTTTTTTTATTTGAGAGGTAAAAAGAGATTTAAAATATGTCATCATTATCTAAAATCAAAGTATGCTATGCAGTCAGTAGAAGTACCAATTTAACAAAAGAGCTGCAACGATTAGATGATGAACAGAAAATTATTTGGCTACCATTCTGATAATCAAAATATTTGATCTTTTAGTTTCCCAAATGTGAGAATTTGCTGCTTTTCATTTTCTTAACATAGTTCCTCTTCTTAATACAGTAACATGAATATCTTGGAGTATTTAATGTTGGTGGTTGAGTTTTATTCCTTCATAGAATTTCATAATTCATGATTAGAATTTCCATTTGAACTGACTGTAGACAGTAGATCTGCTTTAAGAAACTGAATTAGCTTGAACATGTCCAAGTAGGACAGGAAGGACTGATGTTATTCTGTCACAGTCATAATGTGCAGTTAAATGCGGGGGTGGCATAAGTAAGAGCAACATACAAAGAGAAGAACCATCCTGAAAGCAGTGGATTTATTGCAAGTGTTCTCTTGCTGCTTTCCCACATGGAAGATAAATGAGAAAAGTATTAACTTAGAGGACAGGAATGTGCTGATGCACTGATATACTGCTGGTGTAGACTGATCAACCTTTAAAACAATAGCTATCCAGTATAATTTAAACTGTCACCATGCATGTGAAACAATATTGCCTTTGGCATTGTTACCATATTTGTTTTCTTAGTGTCACTTTGATACTGTTGAGAAAATCACTTAAGTACTTTCAAAGGCCAATTTGCAAAGTCTTTTACAGGGCTGAAGAAAAGTTACTGTGTTGGTACAGTAACAATGCCAATACAACAATAAAAAAATGTAGAGATTGCCACATATTAATACAGTATTAAATCATCACACAAATGATGTCAACACAATGAGACATGAATGAGTGTGAAAGTTACCAGTCTGATCTTATCCGAGAGTGCATTTCAAATATTTGGGGTTTTATTGACCAATGCATCATCACCCTGGGGTTTGTTGATAATAGAGATGTTGCCGTTCCATAAATTGTTAAAAACCTGCATTAATACTTAGTACAAAAATGCATGTACTATATCAACACATTTGGGTGAGAAAAATGCCAGATCTGCTTCCTTAGGTCCAGAGTGAATTGTTGTCACCCTGTTGACATCTGGTGTGCATTTAAAAATAATTCGTTCACCACTATCACTCCCACTCAGGGTGGACCTTCAAACAAAAAGGGCCATTTGCTTAAGTTTCATTTTCGCACACCCTGTATCCAGAGCAGAGAATGTTTCTTGGCAGCACACAAGCATGAGCACATTGCTGTACAATGCTTTACAGTAATCATAACAGTACCTGTCTGCTCCATGCATGTGTCTTTTATCTATTGGCCAGATCAACCTAGCTTTTTTACAAAGACATTCATTCAATTTTCACTGATAAAAATGTGGGAAACGTTTATTAGAGGAATTAACAACAGCTTCCTAGTAAAGATTTGTGCCTTGTTTAAAAAAAAAAAAAAAAAAAAAAAAAAAGGCAAGCTGAGAAAAACACTTGTTTCCATCAAGACCAAGACAGCACTGAAACTCAATATTAGAATTGTAAAGATACAGTGAGGCTACAGTGGAGTTTGAACGCAAAGAGAACTCAGTGTGGAAGAATTCACATACACTCAAAATGGGCAGAAATATTTGAGTCATATTTTTTTATGAAGATGTCAAAATACTGGACTGGATTATTAAGATCCACCTATTATAAGATTGCAATGATAGTAAATAATAATAATAATGTAGCCATTTTAAAACAAATCAACCCTGTGGATCTATTGTCTCTCACAGAGGCAGACCTGAATATAGCTCAGACTGCATGGGGCGACAGCGGTGTCTACGTCTGTTCTGTGGTCTCTTCCCAGGACCTTTCAGGAAATGGTGAAGACTACACTGAGCTAATTGTACTCGGTAAGTTACCTCTGTAGGCGGATGTGGTCACCTTCTGACACATGAATTTGCTTCTTTTTTTTCTCTGTTTCCCCTTTCTTCACGTTCCTCCTTCCATTCACACATCAAACTGCACATAAGGTTTGCAAATAATTAAGAGGAAATGTTTCAAATAAACTTGGTCAGACAGATTTTGCAAGTGGCTGATGAACTAGTGTGTGGGCAGTTGTTCAGTCAACAGAGAGGATACTTGCCACCATCCCGGTTCTGAATAAGCTTTGGAGGCATTCGTTGTAGGCAGTAAAATTAGGCCGATACCACTTTAAAGTAATTGTGGCTTTATCTTTCTTTCACAGAGAGAAAGTCAAATACTACTGACCTCCTGCCTGGCATTGACTTACTGGTTATGGAAGGTAGTACAAGCCCCTTGATTGTGGCTCTGTCTTGTTTTAGTCCCATAGCATAGAGGTGTATGAATGAACTTTAGTTATGAATGAGATGAGATTAGCAAACATTTCTTACCCAAAACCTTCGCTGCATTGCTTGAGGTCTCCCAGGTTGTGTGTTTTTGTATTTTTACTTCGCTGAACAATTTTGTCCTTAGACACACAGTAAATTTTATGGCCAAGATCAAACTCAAAGAGCACAATTACAGACAAAGAAACAAACAACTATGGCATCTTGAGATCAGGCCCCTGTATTTAAGATACAAACATCCTGTTATGGTTGTAAATGTGGGAAAATAATGATTAATTCATGCAAACCCAACTGTTGTGCTTGTGTTATACCTCACTTACATCCTCAACTTTCTCTACTTTACACTCCCTCCTTATCTGCCTCCACTTCTTTCTTTATTATGGCTCTGCTCCCATGTGTGACTTTCTGTAGCTGCCTGGTTGCAACAAAAGGGCATTTAGCACATATTTCCTTATCAGTATACACAGACAAATAATGTTTTTACACTGTTCTCTGCTCATGGAGTTTCCATTATAGTTGATTCATTTGAACGAACTGTATCGCCCTTCCCATTGCTGTGTTTATCTCTTTGCTGAGTGCATGTGCTGCCTGAACTGACTTGCAGAGGCAAATCATGCCCTGGGTACAAGGTCAAACCAGCTTTACCGGTTTGACAAAACCTTTTAAAAAAATATCCAAGCTACCACTGTAGCCAACTTGTTTTGTTGATCTGAAAACTCAGTAATCAACATGAGAGTTACCCAATGATTTACCAAGATTATTTACATTTAGAAACAAAAAGCAGCATCGCTTATGGTTAGAGGTGCCCTTGGGTGTGTCAAGCAACAAACTGCTACTTTCTGTTCTCCACAGATGTTTTGACATTTCACTCCCTAGTCCCTAGTGTTTTTTTCAACTAAAACAGTTGACAACAGAACTGTGAAAAAAAATTACTTGATATAACTGTATCTAATGCACCCTCTGCTGGCCCACACAGACTGGCTTCTGGTTGTTTTGGTGACTTTGGGCTTCCTGTTGCTGCTGATCCTGATTGGGATCTGCTGGTGCCAGTGTTGTCCACATACCTGCTGCTGCTATGTCAGATGCCCCTGCTGCCCCAACCGCTGCTGCTGCCCACAAGCATGTAAGTATCAAATGGAAGTAAATTAAATTGCATTGCTCGTAGTCCTTCTTTTATTGTATATAGCCTATGTCTGGTTATTGAACTTAAAGTTACATAGGCTTAAGCTTGCTACACTGAAATGTGTCTTTCCCCGCCCTCGCTGCTACATAGCAGAGGGACGTTTGCCCTGCCTGCATGAGCCACTCTGCTCTGCGCTGTTCTCCAGTTTGTTTATTTATTTATTCTGAACATGTCGAGTGTCCAAATTGCACCAAACGCGACACTGCACTCCGTTGCAGCAACACACCCACCACGTGTGAGGTCGCTGGAAGAACTGTTCTTGACATAATTGAAATACAAACAGACAGACACACTTCTTGCCTTTTATTAGAGAGATGAAAAATAGTTTAGTTGAAAAACATGTCCAAGAAAGGGAAAGAAAAATCATAACACACATTCTTACCTTGCGAAATACTAATCCAATCTCCAAAGGCTTTCAATGGTGCATGTCACACTGTGTTGATCATGTGTTGACTATGGCGGTCTCATTACATTTAACAAAAAAAACCAATCGGAACTACAAAAAATGCCTTAAAAGTGTTGTTTTCACGGAACTACAAGGCCGGTGTTAAACAATGTCAAACTATACCCAGTTGTAAATCTTACTGCAGTTATTCATATCATGTAGTGTACTTAATTTTTGTGGGGGTGCAAAGTAAACATAAATGGAAACACCCTGTCTGAATTTACCTACATTTCATGGCTTACTTCAGCTCTGGATTGTTCATGCAAATCTGCCTCACAAATTGGGTTCAGCTTATGTATTCATTGTAGACCATAGAGCGTGTACATTAGACCTAACCACAAGTTAGAGAAAGCATAATTTCAGTCATTATCACCAAAAGAACGATTACACTCTATGAAACAATAATTTTCAAAGCAATAGTTGTCTATTTTGGGAAATACCTTTCTCTGCGTTCTTGCAGAAAGTTGGAAACCACTCCCATGTCTGTACAGTAAATGTGAAACTACCACCAGCAGCCAATTGGCGTAACTTAGCATAAAGACAAGGAAGCAGGGGGAAACGGCTGGCAACAGCACCTCCAAAGCATACCAACAAATTATATTTTGTTTGTTTCATTTGTACCAAAAGTTGTGTTTTTTTCTAACTTTTTTCATAACTAGCTGTTATGTGTAGACATGGGAGTGGTATCAGTATTCTCTTCCAGCTCTCAGCAAGAAATAAACAATTAAGCCAAATCTTTGAACTATTTCTTTAAGTTTACTGTTAAAATTTTAATGGTCTTCAGCAGTTGTTGTTGCAACCAAAGCCAAATGAGGTGTTTTTCTGTTCCACACAATCATAATTTTGCTATCATGTTTTCATTACACTTGTAACCAACTGTCTTTCAATATTTTTCAGTGTACGAGGCAGGGAAAGCAGTGAAGAAAGGTTTGCCCAGTCAGTATGCTCCCACCCTCTATGCTCCCAGTATGTATGCTCAGCCAGCATACAGTGGCCAGCTAATGGGCCAACCTGGTATACCTATGCTTCCTCAACCCAACGGAGTTGGGTATCCACCTCCCCATAATGGTTACATTCGTGAATATGATGGCACCAGCTCAGGTGAGAAACTTGCATTAAAACCACCCTATTGTTATTTCCAACATGTTTTGAGAGGCAGCTGCTGAGTCATTTCTGTAGCAGTTGTTGACTTCAGGTGGCAGTTAACTGAGAATATGAGTTTCATTATGAGCTCATATCATGTCCTAGCTAATTTGTTTGTTTGTTGAATCTTTTTTGAAATATGCTTTGTTATGTCTATGCAGTTGGGCAGGGATCCCAGGTGCCTCTGCTGCATGACCAAGATGCTGGAGGGGACCACAGTGAGTAAATTGGAGGGCGGGGGGGGGGCAAACACTTACAGGGTTTTTCCAGGCTCAAAGAGAATCGTAGGTGGTATGATCCTATACATGTACACGTGTAGCTTGCCTTTAAATGGCTCAAGCAATGTAATTTAAGAGTTCTAATAATTACCTGATTGTAGGAAATTTTCACATGAATGCATATTTTATTGAAAAATGAAATCAAATACAACATGAAAGCTAATGTGTTCATTTATACAGTTAACAAACAGCAAGATGTTCAAATCAAATCAAAAGTAACATAAGCTCTTGTTTTCATTTATAGTACAGGGTCCTCTTGAAGAGTAGCTTATGTGAATACCTGGATATTAAATGTTCTCTCCAGTGGTCCCAGTAATATTTGCGAAAACCATCAAATATTAATCAACGGAATTACAAAACATTATTTACACATGTTGCTCTCCTCCTGTTTTTGAAGCATTTGAAAGTAGTAAAAAAAGATTTTATTTTTAAATAATATCCTCTCACACTTTTACAAGATAGCTTATCACCTTTGATTTAATGTATTGTGCAGATCTGTTTGAAGTTTTGTATTTGATAAAGTGGGGAAAAAAGTTGATTTAAAACCTTACATTTCAAAAAAGTAAACAGACACACACTGGCTTTGTAGTCGCGAACAAAAGTAACGGAGGCGGCGTAATCTCGTAATTCTCTATGCGGGAAAAACCCTGACTTAATTGGAATGGCCACCTTTATATTTCCTGTGTTGTAGCTTTCCCACCTGCAACACAAGACAAGCCCATTTACAGAAATAATTTTACACGTACACTTTTCACACAAATAGTATGTTTCCAATGTGGTTTCTCATTAGTAAAATTCTTAAATGAGTTTCACTCAATTAAATAGCTTTTTTGCAGTGTGATATTCCACTTAGTCTATTTATATTTTTGATTTCTTTTTAATGACCCATGTTACCCCCCAGTTAAACTTTTATTTATATCATATTAATAATTTAAGCTGATCAACAATAATAGTTTTGATCAAGGAACTTTGGTATTTGGATCAAGTAGCTAATGGAAAATGAAGTGTATCAGATTTAATAGCTACAGCTGTTTTCAGTGTGTGGGATATATTTAGCTAAATATAATACCCCTCATCTTTTCACCAGCTCGCAGTGGGTATCGTATCCAGGTGGACCCTGATGGGAACGCTACACGTGCTATTTACTATATGGAGAAGGAACTTTCTAAATTGGACCCATCTAGACCTGCTAACTTCAACCGCTGTGAGTGACTCTGCTATTCTGGACACAGTTACATGCCAACTGTGCCCCAGACTACTGTGGGAGAAAATAAATCAACTTCTTGTAAAAGTTATCAAGATTTGCCTTCTAACTACTGCCTATGTTTAGATTAATTTTATTCAATTCTATTTTATGAAGTGAGGGATGCCTTCAAGGGGTATATGAAGGTACATCATAAAACTCAGGGCATTGAACATGATGAAAAAAACAAACATACTCAGCATTTTTAAATACAAATGTTACAGCATCAAACAGCCCAGTGTCCTCCTGCCTATAGCTGGGTGATAAAAGGTTTCTCACCAGTAATAAAAATAGTTTTCGAAAACGATATGTAGAACAATTAGGAAATGAAACACTTGCTATATAGCAAAAATAGCAAAATCAACATAATAGTTAGTTAACTATTGTTATGGATTACAAGAGGCAACACCCTTAAACATCACTGTGGTTAAACAATAATAGGATATGATTTTAGGATTCCTTTAAATCAAGCCCTTTTTAAAGTCTGTCACAACATAACAAATTAATATTCCTGCCGCTTAAGAGCTGCTAGATTAACAGACATCACAGCCACTGAATGAATGAATAGGGCACAAACATTAAAGCATGTGTGCTTGCTGAGGACTGAAGGCCACGTGTGGCATCAATTAACTCCTATAGCATTCTTGACTGCAAACAGCCACAGTCATTGTGTTTGATTTCACTTTACTGACCGTGTCAGGCTGAACTTGAATTATAACTATAATATTTTCTTATTCTTTCTGTTACAAAGCTGAATAAAATGAAGGTGGAATGATTTTTGATAGAGATAACATTTAATCAGTATCCACACAGATCTAGACTCTGTTTTCCTAATCTGACACGTTGGACCTATTCGCTACTAGTAACCGTTAAGCAGTACGTAATGTTATGTCTACAACAAACGGTGAACTCTTTTCACTTTTACGCAAATGGATAGTCAATTCATCTATAGCCAGGTTTCAGTTTTGATTGTTTCCCACACTGGCCTGAAGTGGCTGATGACGATTGTTACAAGCTTAAACTGTAAATTATTGCCAATAGCTTTTAGTTGTTAGGTGACCAATATTGTTAGCAATGTGCAAATGCAAATTGCAACATTCAACAAAAAATTTGCACATTAAAAGTGAATATATAGTATTGTATTAAAAAAAGGAATCATTTCTTGTATAAATTTATAATTTGTGATTTGGGTAATTTTGGTAAAATTCTTCAGTGATCAGTGTCATTCTCTTATGAGCTCCATTATTCTTTAGTCTATAGTGGTTTACATTTTTCCCAGTTACTATTTAAAATGCAGAAGTTTGCCGTTGGAAGTTTCTGTTTTCAATTCAGGAGTTCTGACTTTTTACCCATATTCACTTTATGGAGAATCTTTGCATTCCATTCAACTCTCCAGTGCTACCATGGGGAGGCGTTAAGCTTTTGTTTTGGCTTTATCCTGCTAAATGTCCATGTCTTTTACAGACCACAACCTGTAATTTCCTGATGGATAGAATGACTAGTTAAATTAGACAGGAGCAAAGTAAATATATATTTTCTAAACTCTCCATGTAGAAGGCCTATTAATCCCGTCTGAATGGGGCATTTTATTTCTTTGGGTTTTACTTACCATCTCTTCTTCTTTATTTTTCCTTCCTCAGTGGATAACATGACTGAAGTCAGTTCCCTGCATGAGAGCTTTGATACTCGAGGCCGCGGAGTTCGTTCCCAGCCGCCAGCTCTGGCCACAGTCTATGACCGCGATGAAGCCATGAGCACCATCAGCAGTGTTTCCCAGCAAGGCCACCGCCATGATAACTACACGCCACGTGGTGGAGGGTACATGGGGGATCGCGTACGTGCCCGCTCCATGGATGACCTTGACGACATCGGACGGCGCATTGGCCGTGATGACTACCCGCCACACCGTCGCCCAGATGAACCCAGAGGCAGGAGAGGGTGAGTCCTGTATCCTGCGCTTGTTGTCTAGCTCGGTGCACTAAGCTTCCAAGTTTCGAAGACTGTCCACATTTCACAACTGAAAAAGAAAACTACTAAAACTGCTACTTTATGTATGTGTGTTTTTCTCATCAAGCAGACTGATCTTTAACAAAACAAAATTTTAAGTTTTAATTTAATTTACGCTACGCCTATACATGCACACTTGATGCCCCCTACCTTGAGGGTTAGGGTTACAACTCTGGATTTATTCACCTACTTTAAAAACATTTATTAAAAAACATTAAAATGGCATGATCCTCGTTTCGCTGCGAAGCTTCGACTATGAGATTAACAGTCGAATCAGGCTCCGCCCATCTGAGCATTGAATCTTCGACTATTCGGGGTCAGCCCTAGTAAGTATAATCAAAATCTTGACTTGGTCATATTCCGCTTTTGTGCCTAAAGTGGCAATAACCTACACTTCAGTAACAATGCTATGATGCTTCTTTTTGTTTCACCAACTGGATGAGCCAGTGGTGCTGGCAATAGCTGATATTGGGCAAAATGTAATACTACAGTTTTTTAATAGAATGGAAAAAGGTTTGCTTCTCTAAAGCGGACTGAGATCAATAATTGAAAGATATTTCCTAACCCTGGACGCCGCGTTACGGCTGTGCCACGGCTGCCGTAGCTAATCGCTGCCATTGTAGTCAATGCTTGTGCTCACACTAGAAACGCTGCAGTGCGTCCCAGAAGAGTCTCAGAAGCGGCTCTCTGCTCCGCTGCACGGAGAATAGGCAGCTGGTCTATTTTTGACGGAAGACGCGTTAAGCAGCACAGAGCAGATGAGCCGGGCAGGAAGTCAGACACAGAAATGACAAAGAGAATCTGTTCAATTATCATAATAAAATACCTTGTACAGACAATTAAAACAGACCAGAAAAGAAACAATTTAACTATATAGCCTTCTTAACCAGACCTGCAGGAATTGGGGGGGAAACTGTTCACAGAGTGTGATCGGTTGTAGAAGCACACAAGATGACAAATAACAATATATGCAATAACAATAATAACAAGTCAACAACGTGGGGCAGGCTTAACGCTCCGCTGCTGAAACACTTCTGAAACGCTTCCAGTGTGAGTTGACGCCGGGCTGAGGACGGGTCAAAACCGTGGCGCAGTCGTAAAGCAGCGCACACGCCGCCTGAGTGTAAAAAGGATGTTTTTAAAACTGTGAAATTGAAATTTGTTTCTACCTCAAAAATCCAGTATCAGCTGGGCTAACCTCTCTAATCATATATGTACAGTAGATGCACCTTAACTTACAGTTTATTCATTGCATGTTACTTGGAACATTGGAAACTACTAGTAGTAAGTATGAAATTATAAGTATAAATTTCATTTGAATGCATCTAGATAGACAGACAGATAGATAGATAGATAGATAGATAGATAGATAGATCGATAAAGAGACATATGCAGTATATAGATATATATGAAAAATTCATTACACACTATATTTATTTTGCATGTCTCATCTCGCATTCCCCAAAGCAGCTGAAACAGTGTTTCTAGCTGAGTCTCTGCATAATGTTTGGGGCTTACCAGACAGGTCGTTTGGCTTTCCCTTCCGCTGATATAATAAAGGTGCTCTCCCTAAAGCTGAAAAATGCGTCGGTGTAAAAATGCTACCAAGATCGTGATATTTTTTTTTTTTTAATATTTGAGGCTGAAATGAAAGAAAGAAAAGTCTCTGATGCTTGACCCTTATCATTCACATTCCGGAAGGTGATATCGTGCTGGTTAAGAAAGCTTATAGAGTTCACACATTTTGTGGGCTGCACACACATGCAGCATGTAGCTTAACCCTCAGATGCAGTCCAGTTAGGTGACACCGACAATGAATATCAACTGTGCTTAAAAACTTACAATGAGGTTTAAGTTATAATTTGAACTTGTCATAAACTCTATTTATCAGCTAATCGAATGATGGTTGCAGAAGTGCAACCCCAGTATGCTTCTGTTTTCCCCTCAATTTGCTGCTCTCTGTTTCTGTAGCTCGGATGATGGGTGGAGCAGTAGTGCCCGCAGCGGCAATGGCCGTGACTTTGATGACCGCAGGCGTCGTGACTACTCCCCTGATGATCGTCGCAGAGGAGACGGAGGTGGCCTCCCAGGGAGACGCAGCCGCAGCCGTGACGATCTGATGGACCTGGAGAGGGCTCGCCGGCCTGATGTCGGTGCCAGAGGCATGCGAGATGATTATGATGACAGCATCTTGCGAGAAGCCATGGAGAGGAAGAAGATGGGCGAACAGCAGAGAGCGCGCAGCCGGGATCGACTGAACAGCGAGAGCGACCGCTCAGATCGGGGGAGGGTGTCACGTGGGCCCCCGCCACTTCCTCACAACCCACCCTCTGGACATCCCGGCCGGCGTGATGACTTCCCACCTCCTCCACCACCACCATACAGTGATGATGAAAGTATGCCATCTTCAAAGAAAAGTAACCTCCGCAAGGTATGTCATACCAAAACTCACATTCTCAAATACACGTGTTGGGATTTTCAGAATGACTATTAGATACAGGAAGTAAAGCCTGTGGGCAGTGGGAACCTGAGTATTGTTTTTAGAAAGAAACTCTAAAATTCAAAACCTATCCTTTTTAAGTAGGATATTTTAAGTTTCACTAAATTTCGTCAGTGGTAAGATTAAAGGATAAGGCTGGTGATATTCTTTATTTTCCTTATAGTCAACAAATTCCATGACAGGACATTAAAGTTTTGTCTGTGCAGTCAAAGCCTAATAAAGCTTATCCTTCTGGAATTCATTATTGTCCTAAAGCTATCAAAAGTGTGTGTGTGTGTGTGTGTGTGTGTGTGTGTGTGTGTGAGAAAATGCGATTGTATTTGGATTTATGTTGGTTTTTCTCCCTTTTCATTTGTAAAGTTGACACGGCTTTTCTTGTCTTACAGAATGGAGCTGTGAGTCGGGAGAGCCTGGTGGTGTAAACCCAACCATGATGCTTTGATCCATTAAAAGAATCCATTTAAAATGACCACCTAATTTCTATGACTGTAAATATTAGTCACTGCTAATTTGCTGTGCTGATTTTTATGTTTCATACTTTATAGTAAACTTATCATGAATGATGCTGAATGTGTATGTATAATTTTCAACAGCAAAGAGGTGCACAGATGAAGTGTGTGTGTGTGTGTGTGTGTGTGTGTGTGTGTGTTCATGTATAAAACATTGTGGCTGCCACAAGTGCCTTAGAGTGTACAGAATTTAACTTGTAGATGTTGACGAGTAAACGTTTTTAGATTGTTTCAACTTTTTAAACTTTTGTGTAGTTTCAGTTAGCTGATATAGGTACTGATATAAATTTGTAGGGGTCAATAGACTTTTTACTTGTGTTAGTGTAATTACATACATTTAAAGGAAATGATTTTATCTTTGCTTTTAGTTGTGATGGTCTGCTCAGTGCATTTAGAAACCTGGTGAACAAAAAAGTCTTGGTTACAATTTGTCTTTGAGTACTTACATTTTATTTTTTGTCTTCTTTTTTTACACAAAATTTCAGTTTTAACCTGCAGTATATTGTACAGCCAACCAGTAATACAAATGCTTATTGTGTTGTGATGAAACCTAATTTTACAATAAAGGTCTTTATCAGGCCATTTATTTTTGACTTGCAGAGTTTTACCACTAGATGACACCACAATGTTATTCTGTAATTTAATGGCACTAGATTTTAGCAATGTTGTTGTTTTGGACCATAATAATAATAATAATAATATTATAATGCCATACAATAGAAATAAGACTTAAGAAGAGATTTAAAACAGGCCACTGAGTTTGCCTGCCTAAGATCTCCAGGCAGGAAGTTCCACAGCTGAGGGGCCCAAACAGCAAATGCCTAATCACCTTTAGTGACCAGACGAGACTGGAACCATCAGTAGAGCCCTGCTGGAGGATCTCAGGCATTGGTCCTGCTCGTAGGGATTTAAGTCACAGATATAGGCAGGAGCCAGACAGTTCAGGGCTTTAAAAACAAGTTGTGGAATCTTAAAATCAATTCTAAAACTCGCAGGTAACCAGTGAAGGGCAGCGAGAATTAGTGTGATGTGGTCACTCCTCTTAGTGTGAGTTAGAAGCCTACCTGCGGCATTTTGAATGAGCTATAGTCTATGGATTTTTCCCTTACTAATACCAGAATACAGAGCATTGCAGTAGACGAGCCTTGAGGAAATAAAGGCGTGGATGACCTTCTATAAGTCAGCAAAGGAGAGGCATGTTCTAATCTTTGTTAGCTGTCTCAGCTGGACAAAACACGACCACTTTGTGCTATTTTGGTCAAAAATGATACCAGGGTATCGTGCTTCTTTCTGAAATGTTATCTGAAAGGACACCCAGGCTAGTGGTGAGATTATTATGGTAGCTAGTGTTTGGTCCGACAGGGGTAAATACAATTATTTCTGGTTTTGTGCAGTTTAATTGATGTAAGTTATTAGTCATCCAGACAGAGTCTGTCAGGATGACTAATAACTTGCATCTTGTGATGTTTGGTTGCAGCAATTGTTCACTACTGTTTGATTTGGAACAGTAAAATGACAAAAGAAACAACTGATCAACTAAACACTGAGGAAGTTCAGATGGTTTATTATTGGGAGTTCAGAACAGACTTAGCTTTGATGTTCCTCTATGTTTTATTATATCCTTATTTTAATTATACAATTCCTACTTTGATGAAAAGGATTAGCCCTTCAGTTTACCGTCAGTATTGGCATTCATGCAGTGGAAACCCCGCACCGCCACCCCCACCCACAAACCTCTGTGTGGGACACTTACCCAGTCTCAGCATGAATTTGAAATTTAAACTTAGCAAAGGTGATGTATTACATTATATTTTACAAATGTTTCCACTGCTGTACTTTAGTTTGTCCACTGAGATTGTAATTGCACATTAATATTTTAGATAGTTGTATACTTACTGATACTCTGTGTTCATAACCCAAGAAGCAGAAGGTCAAAACTGCTGTCCTGTATCACTTGGTTTCTAAAAGGATTTTACTATAAGTTACTGAACAGGTAATTATTATCAAATAATTTAAGTTGTTCAACAGTCAGAATTTAATTATTTGAAATGGCACTATCTTGTTTCAGTACTCCCGCTATCCTCTGTTTCAGATTTCTTGCAATTTGTGTATCTTTCTCTTTCTCCTCACACTGTCCTTCCTGCTGTCAATCAACACCCTTAGGTTTCTGGTAGAGGATGGTTACTGTGACAAGGTGTGTGCTAATCAACTGCACATTACTACACAATGCCAGTTGTGACGGTGGTTACATGCAATTGGCAGAAGTGCAGATATGTTGAAATTTGTATTTCAAATTGACAACTTTAACACTTGCTTTCTTGACTGTTTCATATTTGTGCAAGTGTTTGAGAAAGTGATGAATGCCGACATTAGACAGATAGGGACATGCTGCTTCTTCCAAAGGAAGCTTTCTGACAATAGCTTGATTTTTATTTTAAAAATATTTGCTCTGAAGGTTTGAGGCAGCAGAGGACACATCGCACCAGACTATTCTGTCAGTGAAACTGTATTTTTTGGGGGACACTGCATAACCCTAAATGGTACTCAGGCCTCGCTTTAGGAACCACAGACTAGTACCCTCAAATGCATGCCTTTTGAACCACTTTCAAACAAGGCTACTGATGATATGAAATTTATTTGAGTTTATATTGTTACATAATATGTCATTTCACCAGTGTGAAGAGAAACACGGTCTTCATATTGAGGAGGAACTCCAGTGATTTAGTATTGCTCTTCATAAAGTTGGACGACTCACAAGAGCCAGACTTCGAGAAGAGTGATGAAAATTGATGCAGCAGTCTGTGATACTCTTTTATTGGGTGAAGTTTCAAAAATGTTTGCATCACTCTGGGAAATGTAGGTTCAGTCTACCCAATTTTGGTTGGTAGTTTACAAGCCCAAAACCTGCCGACATCACTCTGGCACCATCAGGGATAATCTTCTCAGACTTGAAAACTGATCTTTAAGGAGTTCCCTTTTAAAAATGACAAAATGTGTCTCCTGGACTTTCAAACAGCCTCATTTACAGTATTTTATTGTTAGTGACTTATTTAACAAACTTAATTTCCATTTCACTTGCATAGTGAAGGTTTGAAATTCCTTATAGATTATTGTCCGTAGTACTGTGGAGGCAGCATGCGTTACAGCCTATTGTTCAAGAGAATTTAACCTGCTATCAGTAACCTGTAACTTTAATAACTGACTTCATTTTGATTGGATCATCCATCTACAATGTAAAGCAGTCTTTACAGAAACAAAATTAAGAGGACAGTGTACATTTATAGCTTGGATTACATTAATTTAATTTGTTATTTTAAATCTTAAATAATTTAGGTCAAGGTCATGATACAATTTATTGTCAATCTCTTGATAGAGTGTACAGGTCAACAAAATGATGTTCCTTAAGTGCTAAGGTTTAAAAAATTAAAAAACGAATTATGAAAAATAAAAAGAGGTGCAAAAGACGGCATAGTTTTGCATATTAAATAAAGTGCAGTCTCATGTATCCTGAAATATTTACATTACATAAATTGTGACAAAGATATGAATTGAGCAGCAAATTGAAAATCTGAAAAAAATGGCCGGGGCTTTCTGGATGACAAACTATGTAACTGCGACACTCTTTCTTCGTTACCTCAAACATCTTTGGCCTTTCTGTGCTACAATTGTTACTTATTGGCCGACATATATGCAGTTAGTATTAAATATAGTCTGAATTATCTACATCTAATTCCTACAATCTTGATATATTGATGTAGAAAGTAGCTGGTACAGATGACTGACAGTGACATTATTTTACATACTTTAATTTCTAAATTAATGTTTAAATTCTATTAGTAGATTCATTTCTCTATCATGCAGTATTATTATACTTAATGAATTTATACATGTTTTAAAATAATGTTTTATATTTATATACTTTCTCTTATCTACTAAGAAGTGAGGACTTTGTAGGCTATTTCTCATATTTGGCAAACTCAGCTTGTGTGAAGATCTTGCACAAAATCATTAAAAAGAAGTCACACAGGGCAAGAGGGAACAGATGATCAGATTGGTTTTAACTTATTTGAAAGAGAAAACAAAGGGAAACGATAACATTATTATTCAAAATTCTCTGTCTATCACAGTTTATAGACCAACTTTCTACTTCAGTTTTGACCTATTGGCTTGGCTTTAATGGTTTTCTTGTACAGTGAGGGAATATTACAGACACTTTCAGTTTTACCCCCTGTGGTTTAGATAATCTCACTACACTGTTGGCTTGTTTACAGCCTGTCTGACCAATCATGTTTCTTGTCCTGTTGTACGTCTTTGTAGTGATGTTGCTGTGTTCGCAGATCTCAGCAATTACTTTGGTGAGTACAGTGTTAGAATAATAATAGAAATCATAAAAATAACCCTCAAGTTGTAAAAAAAATCCAAATTATCCTTTAATTAATTACCGATAATGTGCAAATCTAAACCTGAAAGCTGTACTCCCCCACACCCCAATCACAGGTTGTGTGTGCCAAAGAGCCAATCTGCTGACAGAAAGAGAGACAGAGGAGGGAGGAGGGAGAGTAGTAGAGAAAACCGAAGGAGAGAAGACCACTCTCTGAGCTACTCAGCTGATAAGGTAAGAGCTCTGCTGGTCTCTGATCTACAATTAATATGTATTACTTTTAGATTTTCCTCATATGTAAATGCTGCTGGGTTTTGCTTCACTCTGAGTCAACTTGTTCTGTTCTCCACTGTGTTTACATTCCTCATTTTTTAATTGTTTATTTGCAACAGAATGGCAGTGAGTTTTATGTTGTGGCCATAGTTGGCAACAATAAAGCGGCAGATATTTTATAGCCGTGTGGTGTATATCCATAGTTAACAGCTCCTTTACACATTTTATTATTATCATATATCCATATTTGATGCTATAACATTTGATTACAGCTGAAAATCATGCACAGAATGCTATTTCTAATGATAATCATGCATTATGTATTTGTTGAAAGACAGGAGCATGGTGACTCAACAAGCCATAATTTTTCCAGTATTTTAATGAAAAGAAAAACCGAACATTGGGTTTCATATTGTTCTCGTCACGACAAATGATCGCCTACTTATTATGGTCAACATTTTTGTGTGCAAATGAATGTCAATGCTCTCATTGCGTTGGATAGTTATGGTGTCTGGCTTGTCAATTCATTGATTTTCAGTCATTAGACAATGACTGAAAATGTAACATTAAACAAATAGTGATAGGTTTAGTGTTGCGTATTGCATTTGTGCAAAATGGCTGTCAATTATCTCAATGTCTATACTGGAAAAAGCTAGAGAAAATGATAAAAGAAATGACATGCATATCAAATACACACTGCAGTTCGCACAATGACAGTTGGGGCACAATATGGGAACTAAGGCCAAGTAGGACACATTTGAGATTAGTTGCACCTTTGGGAATAAAAATCCCATTTAACACAGGGACATCAGCATGTCAGTGCTGTGGATATAAAGTCCTGAACTGGGTCAATAATCCCTCACTGAGATATACACTACATTTAAATATTTAGTGCAATATATGGACAATCAGAGTTAAAAAAAAATATATAT